CACAATATTAAAAATACAGGACATTACCAAAAATGAGTTCTAAAGCTAAAATAAACTTTTCAAAACTATCAATGAAAAAGACTTTCAACCAACCATGCCAGAGGAAGAGGAAAGACTGAATTGTTCTTCTATACATTCTATGGAATATCTTTTATATATCATATTTAAACAGACATAAATAAAACAGGCAGGGTTACTGATTTCAAATGCTCATTCAAAGAAGGGGATTCTCAATGACCCCAGGTATCCTTCTTTAAGGATTCTGTCCTGATTCCGCACAAAAATTTATTTATTTTTCTGTGGCTAAGGGCTTCTAGGAACTATCAGATTAATTAAACATAAAATGTTTCATTGTTCTCTCCAAAGTGTTTAAGGTGCTTAGAGTCCTTTAAATGGATGGGAAAGCCACTTGCCATGTTATTTGCTCTCTGTGAACTTAATTTCAGAATCCCCTTCAGGTCATGGATAAGCTTGCTTTTCTTCTGCCCTGGATTCCGAGCCAAGAAACAAATCAAGAACCTTCTTCAGAGTGTACAGATCTAGGCTTGGCCTCTTACTCTCTCCTTACTCTGCCTCTTGCAAGGTCATGGCTCAGCGCTGAGGATACTTGCAAATAAACTCTGTATGCTGTTGCTGCCCTGGTTATTACTTAGCTACTCTAAATTTCTAACCAGAAAAAAAAATTAGAGATGCCAGGATTTTCTAATTATCTGCCTTAATATTAAGAAGGATTAATAAATCAATCTTTTCCCAAAGGTGGAAAAATAGGTTATATTATCAATCTGCCAGTTTGCCCTTTTATTATATTTATGCTTCTAAGTCCTTATAAAAGTAAAATGCTTGGTTGATTGAGCAACAGTCATCAAAGAGATTAGACTCTGTAATGAAATCAGAGCTCTAAAAGAAGGAAACTGGTAGACCGGTATACTCACCATCCAGGAATGAATCCACTGTGCAGCATTTCTACACAACAGAGTAGAATGTACATGTTAAAGAGACCAACGCCATTTTGCAGCAGGTTCTATGTGCAAGGTTGAGCAGTTGTTTTGGGTGCTAGGAGTAAGAGGCTTCACTCTAGAATTCTTCTATCAGCAAGAGTCTAGAGGGAGCCCAGAACTCTCCATCTTGGCAAGATGTCCCCATGTTGGTATCCTACATATCCACCTTTTCTCCTGTCATCACTCACAATGGAGTCCATCATGACTCTGTCATCTTACACCTTATCCCTGTTCATATCACTTACCTAAAGAAGACCGGGATTCCAGATCCTTTAACCCTCCGATTTTGATTCTCTCATTTTAGGGAGACAGAGATCACTTTTGTGACCATCTCCTACTCTTTCCCAACACTCTGAGATATTTTCACTATATCCTCTTGTGTTCAAAGTCATGAACAATAATGTCTTTTGTGTCCCCCCACCTTTTTGCTCTAACTGAAACCTGGGACAACCCTAAAACCCCAATATCCATGTGGCATTCTCAGGTAATAGCTATTTGTCTCCCACACTAATTGGGACTGAAGATGAGTTGGTGAATTTCTTGTTCCTCATTGCTGCTTCAAGACCATTTCCTCTCCTCCCTCATTAAAGGTTCACAGATTTGAGTCTCACATGATCAATCCATACTTTCCACTACCTCTCCTAGTAGATGTCACCTACTATTCCTTGGACATACTTCTCTAGCTTCTCTAAAGATTTTTAAACTCTGGGCTTAATGTAAATCTTTCAACATGACTCCTAAAATAATTCTCTGAAATTGCAATATACACAGATAATCTTTCTAGGACCTTGGCTCTATCTTCAATTTGTTCTCTTCTACTCTATTTCACTCATGTACTCCCATAGCATACTTTTGATCAATGACTGCAAACTCTCTAAAATCTCCAATGATCATCTCCATCCTTTTAGCTTACTCCAGAAAAACTCCAATTCCAATTTGAGAAGTAAAAAAAAACATAGAAATTAAAATAATTTTTAAAATTTCTTGTGAATATGAAGCTCTTTAAAAGATCCTGACTGAGTTATCATTATGATTAATAATAGAATTTATTCCAAAATTTAATGCATATTAAACATAAAATCTAAGATTTTATTATAAGCACCTCTCTTAAGGATATCAGTGAGCTTTTTGATCATTTTTCAACTGGTTCAGTACCCATGGATACCTATCACTTCTTCCTACAATGAGAGGCTTCAGCATCAACTCTGTTACTCTTTGTCATTATAAGGATATTTACTAAGCAAACATGTTCACGTAAATGTGTAAATAGGGGAATGTAACATGTTTTGTTACAGTTATGCTGTTTGCTGAATTAAAGTTTATATCTGATTTATCATTTTTTTAAAAAAAAAATCAGGCGTTTACAACCTTCCCTAGCTCCCAATTTATGTAAGTAGGCATGCAAGTATGTACACCTGCATGTATGTATATGTTATGTCACAACTTCTACTTAACAAAGGACATTGTTGTAGAATGTCCTTAGCAACAAAATGGAGCACTTAATCTTTTCATAAAGATATAGTTAAATGAAGAAGATCATATTATAATACCATTTGACTTAGGAAAAAAGATAAGCTTATATTAAACAATTGTTAGTGTTATCAACCCTAAGCAAATTTTCCAGTCACCAATTTTCATTACATTTCTAAGGAATATCATTAAATTACCCTCAAATAATATAGCCATGATGCTGTTTCTTTAATTATTATTCAAGTATTTCTTTTTATTAAAATGCTCATGCTCCTAAGGGGAGACAAAATATAAATTCAATTTATATCCTGTTTCAAACTCACAACCTGCTATTAATGATATGGCAACATATTCCCTATGTGTGACATCAGCAATCAGGTATGTGATATTATAGGATTTGTATATATCTTTTTTATACAAATAAAATATCTTTTTTATATTTTGGTTCCAGAGCAAAGTTTTAATTTTATTTGAGGCATGGTCCCAAGATACATTCTGGTTCCATTTTCAAATCCATCAATGACAGTAATGTAACTTCATGTTCTAGAAACTTCACTTGTTATCAGCTCTACCAGTTCAGACAAACAGAAGGTATTGCTTCTTCCAATATGTATTATGAGACTTAATGGGTGTGAAGCAATTGGAGAGTGTCAGATGAAAGGTACCACAGTAGGTAAGTACAAAAAAAAAAAAATAGGTAGGCGTTCCACAATGTGTCATCTCAGCTGGCTTGGCTAATAAAAGTGCCAGCTAATTGTCCCTTATGGTTGTTGAGTCCCTCTGGAGACACAAGGGCCAAAATGGGATTGGTCTTACCTAGAACATGGTATATACCTGGAAATGTATCTCATGGAGAGTTGTTTGTTTGGCAAGAAATTACATTTTAACTCCAACTCAGGTGACTTCACAAGGACGTCTGACCATAACTAAGTGAGCTAAGTAACCACTGAGGTGTTAAATGTATGCATAGTTTTTATTTTATGACTTTACTTCCAGATGTGCTCATGACAGGAAGGGTATATAGGATTTACATCTAGGGTCATTTTAATCAATTGATGATGGTTGTCAGGAGAGCGACGATGAAGAGGATTCTGAGACCACAGGTAGAGCCTCCATAAAAGAGGGTCATGGGAGATGACTGACTCTCACGCAGTGAAAGCAGACAGGTATAGCAAAAGTACCTTGTCGTTTCCATGCCTAGTATAGGCCATAATTACTATGGTCAAGTCAGAAAGTGGTAATGATATTCATACGCATATCTAGGAAAATCCCTAAGGGTATGGCACACCCAATCCTGCCAAGTCATGTTCAGTTCTCTAAGCAGACATAAAATATATTTTTCAATTGGATTTTTGGCTAGTAACTGACTAATCTGAAAATATCCAATTGAATTCTATTAAGCCATTGCTCAGTAACCCGTTGCTTGATTTAATTTAACTTTAAGTTTTTCTTCATACAAATGCAGATCCAGCTTGAACATCCTTTGAGTGAACATTTCTTAGGGGTTGGCTTAATTCCTAATCAAACTCTGAAGGGGCCTTGGGGCTTCAGAGAATTTAAAACTATAGCATTACCTTGTTCTTTCCCAGGCCAATTAGCTGGGCAGATTCTTTGCATTCAATTTGAAGTTCCTGTACTCCAGTTAAAGTTTGATTTTCTCTCTCAGCAGTTGGAAACCTATCTCCTTGCACAACAGAAACTAAGCATGAAGTTCAGGCATACTGAGCTCAATGGGCCTTGGCACCAGCCCCAAATACTAGTGTGCAGAGTATCCCAGAAAGTACAGTTTCACTCGGCTCCCTTTCATAAACCATGGAAGGAAGTGAAGGAAGCATGCCAGGTTGTTATTCAACTCCGTATTTAATCAAGCATTGCCTGGGCACTTCTGAAACTCTTCGGCTTCTAAATTGAGAATAAAAGCAAAGAGAACACAGGATGGAAACTACTTAAAGAAGGCTCTCAGGATTACTCAGGATCATGTGACCATTCTCCCCAAACTCCTAAAGTCAGCAAGAAAGCCCAGTTCAGTCTCGGTGGTTATTTCTAACTGAATGCTTCACAGCTTTCTCAAGGATGCCAATACACCTTCATTCACTTTGCATTAAGTGACCGACTGGTGCAGTGCACACTAGGCCCCTCATGACTGACTGCACCACGTTTTCTCCATTCAGGTGTTCAGTATCCAAAGAGGGCATCTTACTTTGAGAAAGACAGGTTTGTTTATGATCTAGGAGAACAACATAGGGCTTGCACAGAGCAACAGGTGCAGGCATGAGTCATTTTGGTTCCCTCACCTGCAAAGGGGGAATCCAGCATGTGCCAGAAATTCCTGATACGCCAAGGGCCATTACCAAAGTCTTTCTTTCTTTCTTTTTTTTTTTTTTCATTTGGGGCAGAAAACAGATGCCCCTGTTTTGCCATCGCTCAAGAGACCCAGCCTGCCCCAAAGTCAAAATGGACCAACCTATGAAAACCGGAGGGTTGGGCTTTTTTCTTTTTTTTTTTAAGACCTGAATGAGGTGCTATCTTCATGCTGACAGCTGAGAAGCAGGTCAGTCAGGTTCTTGGGTGCTCTATTACACAAGCAAGATTAGGCCAGCTCCACCTAATTTTGTTTCTCTGACACCCTCCTGCTCAGTGGGACATTGTCATACTTAACCCTTCTGCTTTCTCTAATCCTTGGCAGACTCATTCCAGCCAGAACAGCTGTCTGTGTGATATTTTAGTTCCTGTTTGTAAATACCTCCAAAGCCTGAAGGTAAGTGTGTGATCGGTTACCTAGGATTCTGTCTCTCTCTCTCTCTCTCTCTCTCTCTCTCTCTCATATATTTACGAAAGAGATTCAAAGCAGGCTCAAATTTTGCCAGAACAGTCTGGCAAGTAGTTACGGAGACCCTTGTAAAAACAGGTAGTTGTTTCATTAAGTAATCACCTTCCAAATAAGCATTTCCACTAAGTGACTTAGTTTTATGAATTACTGCCAAATTTGCTGGATGATGAACCACCTGGAGAGTTAAATAAAAACTTTGTTTAAAATGTACTACATTTTAAGACTACAAGGTAGAGTTTCCTTAAAGCAGATCTTAGTGAAAGTTTCAAGATGTTTAAAGGAGAAATGGCAAGAATGTAAACTGATTATTTAGATTTTAATTATGCATTTGGGCTTTAAGTTTCTTGCTAAAGTATTAGAAAATGACAGTGTTTGTAAAGCAATCTTTGTAATGAATTACAAGCTTCTGTGTATCTTTTCCAAAGATTTTATTAATCAAAAAAATTGGCAAAATGTTGTGTATGTAAACTATTTCACTTAACATGATATGTGCTTATGGCCAGCACTCACTGGATATCTAGAAGGTTAAGTCAGTTGCTTCAGAACATATGGAATGAAGGTGCGGATAAAGTTTCTTAAAGTTATTTTCAGTTTGTGGCTGTGTAAAAGGCTCCTATAATCAAAGGGATGCTTATTTACTGTTTAGGCCTTTCTATTTGATACACTGAGGCATTTTCTACAGACAGTGAAATGTAATAGAAGGCTGAAACAGTGAAATGTAATAGAAGTTTGAAAACCCTATGTTTGGGAATTTGGGTCCAGAATATTTCTTTTGGAGACAGTCTTTTCTTCTAAGCTTGATACTGTTCCACCTAATTATTTATTTCAGTACTGAAGTTTATGATTAAGAATGCTCAAGTTAGCAGGGAGCATGACCTAAATATTTTCCCTGGATTTATGCATACTTTGGTATTTAAATTAGAATTATGTTCACAGACTTGAATTTTTATTTCTTAAAGGAAAAGTCATGTGTTTCTTTTCTTTTTAAATCAAATGAAAGTGAAATGATACACCCCAAGGTCCTCAGGTACAATCCTCCTTTCTGGTTACTAAGTCTTCTCATCCTTTCAAAACCATCCTATAAAAGAGGCATTTCTAGGAGCATAGTTCATTAGGTCCTTGTTTACTGTGGTCCTTTCATTTAGGAAAAGCAAATGCTGTTTACCATTGTAAAGGCCATTCAAGAGTAGCACTCAGGGTCTGCCTGAAGAAAGAAAAACAAAACCCATCTGTCTTAATCTGTAGCCTGAGATCTATAATAAGAAATAAGCAAACGCAACCGAGAGAGAAGCAGCACAGTCTAAGCATTGTTTAGTTATTTCACGGCAGAATCTGGCTTTTCTATTATCCTCTCAGTGTACCTGAACTAATGTTGTTCTTGAAGAGTTCAGATTTGGACCGAGTTTAGAGTAACTAGCATTTCTCTTCCCTTGCATAGGTGGACCTCACAGGGTACTTCCTTATTTTTAAAGCTTGGTATAAAATGGGAATGAGTCAGTTACAGCAGGAAGGCTGGGCAGAATAATGACTTTATGCATTTAAGGAGAAGCAACATTATGCACGGTGTGGATCCACTTCCCTCAAGGGCCATAGGTGCCGTTTTCTCCCACCACCTCCGTAGCCCTCTGTACAAACTTCGTAATGTGAAACCACTTTTTAATGCCAACATCGAAAATAGGGGCGAAAATGGTGTTCGTTTTCTCTACATATAGTGATTATTTTTTTTAAGTGTAACTCACACTCTCTGAAAGTATTTTTTAAAATTTGTTAACTACCAGGAATGATAAAAAATAGTTCAATATATACAGAAACGTTTAGAATCTGTGTTTCAAGTATCACAAAGTGGATGGAAATCCTCCTCTCTTTCTTTTCCCTCTATAATAATTCTCATCTTAGAGGTTTTTCAAGTTTGTAATGGTCTTAGCTTGGTTCGGTGTTACATGCTCTCCAAATTCCTCTCCCGAGTTTCCGCCTTAGGGTAAGAAGGGACAAAGCCCCGGGAGGGTAATGATGCTACCTGGGTCTCCTGATTTTCTCTTGTTCTACAACTGTGCTTTTCTGTCATCCCACCTCTGTCTGCCTCCACAGGGCACCTGGTTGACAGATGAACTTGGGCACACAGGAGCACACCAACCATCATCCAGCATAAGTTCACATAACAAGGACACAGCATAGTTTAAATATTTAAAATCTAGAGATGGAGAGAGGCTGAGAGGAAAGTACAAAGAAAAAGAGCACAGATTTCTTTTATTGCCCTTCAAAGCTTCTGTATCACTTCTGTTAGCCTTTGCTGCTCACAACGTGTCTTTTTCAATTCAGAATGGGGTTGAACTTAACCGACATTTCACAGTCCTTGCCCCAGCAAAAGCCCAGGCCTGGGTTTTAGAAGAGCTGATGGTTTCAATTCCTGGCTACTTCTATCCCTTTAAGATGAAGGCACCTGAGTGAGAGGTGTAACCGGTTTCTCTTGGAAGCCAAGGAGCAGAAGTGAAGCTGTCCTCCGCTGTCAGCCAGGGACAACAGGAATAAACTGATTCTCACGAAAGCCTTACCCATAACTGGAATAAACTGTAAATAGTATTCACAGCATACATCATCCCTCTCTTCCCTTTCTTTTCCCTCCAGATTAATTATAGGCAGTAACAGAGGGCTTGGCTCATTTGGGGTATCAATACCTTAGGTTTTCAAGTTACAGTCAAAAGCTGAGTAAAGGGTAGAGAGATCCCCTTGGTGGTTCAATGTTACAAAGTGAATCAGGAACAACAAAACTCACTTTGCTGACTCTTGATATGTGGATTCTCATTACTGGAAGGGAATGAAAGCTCATTCCTCATGTAACATGAGAAAATTAGAACAGCTAAGGGCTGTTTTTTCCCCTCTGACCACCACTTCGTCAGGATGAAAAAATAACCAGAAAGCCTAGGTGTAGAAAAAGCAAATAAAAATGTATAATAATCATACAATGGGTGGCTAAGTATAATTCATAAGCAAATCAGACCACTGGAATTAGATGATGAAAAAGGTCAGAATGTTTGCTATGAACCTGACAGAGTTCACAGAGGGATGTTTCTGAGAATATACATGTAAGTATTTTTAAACTAAACTGAATTATAATTTAAATGTGCTAGGTGAAGCATCAGTTTAATAATGTGTTGCCTAACTATAGGTCCTGGGGATAAGAACTGGTATTTTGTAAACTATATGCTGAAGGTGTTCACCCAGAACCACAGACACAATTGTTGGGATTTTCTTAAATTGACATAAGTGTATTTAGTGTGTTTGAGAGGTACTTAAGGTAGAAGGCTCTAGTTTTCTAGTGTTTAAAATCATGGTATTATAAACTGCTTTGGGTAAATAATACAACTTGGAGAAGCGGTGCCAAAAATACATTGGTGGGAAGAAGCTCTAAAATGCAGCTGAATTCTAGATTCCTTTGTAACCAGTTTCTATATTCCTTTTTAACTTATTTTACTCAGATGAGTGATTACTAGCTTTTATACTGATATTTGAGTCCTAATCCTATCTCTCAGTCACTAGCTCTGTGGTCTTGGTCACAATTACTTACATTTTCAATGCCCCATTTAATTATGTGTAAAACAGGATTGACAATCCTTCCCTCATTGTATGTTTGATTGGTTTGGGTAAGAATTAAATGAGAAAACATGGGAAACATCTGACTTAATAAATGCATAAATAGGGGCGCCTGGGTGGCTTAGTCGGTTAAGCGTCCGACTTTCGCTTAGGTCATGATCTCGCGGTTCGTGGGTTCGGGCCCCGCGTCCGGCTCTGTGCTGACTGCCAGCTCAGAGCCTGGAGCCTGTTTCAGTCTGTGACTCCCTCTCTCTCTGACCCTCCCCTGCTCACGCTGTCTCTCTCTCTCTCCTAGAAATAAATAAAAACCTTTAAAAAAATTTAAAAAATAAATGTATAAATAGTAAGATGTTTTCCAATTATGTTAACATTTTAGGCTCTAAAACCATTTTCTTGACTATCACAGAAATGTGAAAATTTAAACCAACAGTATCACAAATATAAACACCTCTGTAATCCCTACCAAGTCAAGAAACAGAGTATCACAAGTGTACAGAACCTCTTTCTGTGCCCCTCCCCCCTCCAATCAATACTGTTTCCTTCCTTCCCACAAACAGCCACATTCCTGACTTTTAACATTCTAGTTTTTTATGTGTTTTTAATTTTACATACATGGAATCACACACTATAACTGGCATTTTGAGCTATGCATTTTGTTTGTCATAATAACCTGTTTTGTACATGGCTCTAGTTTGTTAATTTTCATGTATGACTATTTCACAAATTATTATCCAATCTGTTACTGAAGGATGTTTAGGTTCGGAGACATTTATAAATAATGCTCCTATAAATATTCTTGTATGTCTGCCTGCCTTCCTTTTTAAGTAGAATTTTTTAAAGGATAAGCATAAGGTATGGCATATATTTCTAAAGCTTTAGGAATCCATAGGTATGGACTAATTACTAAAAGCTTTTGAAAAAAAATATATATCAGGATGTATTATAATTTATATTTAAGTCATACCACTATATAGGTTATCATTAACAGGGAGAGGGCACTTAAAAGAAAATCAGAGGGAGTATATAGAGGCTCCTCAAACCCTAACGAAAAATTATTAAGGTTGAAAATAATTGTAAAAAATTCTGAGAGAGCTTTTACAAAATGGCAGGTGGGATGCCTGGGGGGCTCAGTTGGTTAAGCATCTGACTCTTGATTTCAGCTCAGGTCCTGATCTCATGGTTCATGGATCAAGCCCCACATCCAGCTAGGCATGGACAATGTGGAGCCTGTTTGGGATTCCCTCTCTCCCTTTCTCTCTGCCCCTCCTGCACAGGCATGCACACACACTCTCTCCCTCTCTCTCAAATAAATAAATAAGCATTAAATAAAATGGCAGTCAATACTGGACCTTAAAAATAGTTGCGCCTCCTTACTTTTCTTATCTTAGTCACCCTGGAGGCTATTACTGAAAAATAAGCTCTAAGATCCAATTCAAAGAGTAGGAAAATCAGTTTTCAGGCCTTATTGTTTGAGGAGGAATAGCCTAATGTTTTTAAAAGAGTATTTTAATATTAAAGATCTTTCAAATTTTAGCATCTAATTAAGTTGGGGTCAGTAGTCTTGGATTTCAGTACTGCTCTTGGATTCACTAGTTGCCATTACTAGCCACTCTGAACCTCAGTTTCTTCCTCTGCAAAATGAGGATATTACAAGCTCATATTTTTTTGTCTCAAGGAATCATTGTGAGGATCAAGTAAGACAATATCGTAAAGCTTTTGAACTATAAGACACAGAAATATTCTTATATTCTAATAGTAAAAAATGGAAGTTAATGTCTATTAGCTGCTCACTTTAGGCCAGATATTGTTTAAAGTACTTGTACTTAAATCTTTATTTACTCTTCAGAACAACACTGTGAGGTCAATATGATTATGATTATGATAATGATGATGCTTATTATGATGATTAGTTTTCACAGGTTATCCATAATGGAAGTAAGAATTTTAATATAAATCTAATTTTAAAAACCTTGACCCCATATCCTCTTATCTACTATGAATTGTGGCATTTCCACACTTCAGAGGCAGAAGGATATGCCTGGATAAGAAAACTATATACGGGTTTCAACCCCCAACTCTGCTAATATCTAGCACTGTCATTCAGCCAGATTCTTCATTTACACAGCAAGGGGTTATAAGGAAAGAATATCCTAAAATCTAAAAGTCCTGCTGAGTTTCCCTAATTTGGGATTAACAGGATGAAAAGCATCATGAAGTGAAAAGTACTGTCAAAAAGGGATGTTAATTTCAAATTCAAATAATTCAGATTAGCTGTTAGTGAAATGTTTTCAGGTAGGTTTCCTGACTGATGAAAGCGGTATGTTTAGAGTACAATCAGCAACATCATTTTCATCATAAATATTCTAAATTACATCTTTATAAAGAACATATTTTCTTAAAAGGGTTAAAGAAATCAGCCAGCTCTACACGTCCTATATAATATTTTACTTAGCAATCCATATATAATATTCCATATACATATGAACTCTGTGTATATTCATAGTTCATATATGTATTTCAACTTGTCCTAAGCTAATCCTTCGAATAGTGGAATGGTGGTGTATGGCTTGATAAAGTTTTTGCATGGCCCTTCCTTAGAAGAAAGAAGAAAGAAATATTATATAGAACTCTAGTTTTAGTACATAATCCAAAGAAAACAAACTTTTGGAATAAAGAGTATGGTATTATCAATTCAGTATTATGTACCTAGAGAATCTTATCACTTGAAAAGATTTTTGGGGGGCACCTGGGTGGCTCAGTTGGTTAAGCATCCGACTTTGGTTCAGGTCATGTTCTCGCTGTGAGTTCAAGCCCCACCTCAGGCTCTGTGCTGACAGCTCAGAGCCAGAAGCCTGCTTCAGATTCTGTGTGTTTGTGTCTCTCGCTCTGCCCCTCCCCTGCTCACACTCTATCTCTCTCAAAAAGAAATAAAAATATTTAAATTTTTTTTAAAAAAGTATGTTTACTTATTTTTGAGGGAGAGAGACAGAGTGTGAGCGGGGAGGGGCAAAGAGAGAGGGAGAAAGAGAATCTGAAGCAGGCTCTGCAACATCAGCACAGAGCCCCACATAGGGGTGAAATTCACAACCCATGAGAATCATGACCTCAGCCAAAATCCAGAGCAGGATGCTTAACCTACTGAGCCACCTAGGTGTCCCAATCCTCATCACTTTAAAAATGTAGATCCATTTTAAAAAATTGGCTACTTCATCGACTAATTCAGATGCTTGTTATCCTTCCTTTCAGATTCCCCTTAATTACACCAATACTGAAAAAGGCCACAATGTTGACCTCAGTCAAAATTCTGTTGATTTCAAAACTGTTTAGTTTACTACTAATTGGAAGCCTTGGAGAAGAAGGTCTAGAAATAAACACAACACAAAGCATTGCAGCAGGCTTAAAAGTGATGGAAAATGAATCTGTTCCTTTGGAAAGTGATGTAAATTTGAACTCAGATAAAGAAAATAGAGAAACCTCCAATCCCAAGACAAGTAATTCCTCTCTTTGGGACCCATCAAATAAAAACCATGGAACAACAGAGGTCTTTGGTAATTCATCAACGAACAACTTTTCTGGGAGCCCAAGACCCACGCCTATGTTTCCCACAAATACTTTGATGCAAGGCTTTGTGTCTAAATTGCCTCAGAACTCATCTATAGCAGATGAAAATCCTCTGCCGGTCTCAGCACCTCCCAGTGCTACATCTGCTCTATCTTCAGAAAAGTTCACTTGGTCTTCAGCCAGCGATACCATGAAAACTCCTGACAACAGTTCCATTTCAACGAGCATCCTTCCTGCAGCACCAAGCACTATGTCTGCGTCTCCCATGATAACGGAACCAGATGACTGGCTCATGACAACAAACGATAGTTTCGTAGGGTTTACCCCCTATCGAGAAACAACCACTCTACAGCCCACCTTAAAGTTTACCAATAATTCAAAAATCTTCTCAAACACATCAGACCCCCAAGAAGGTAAATATAAATGGATTTAACTTTCCTTTTGCGTGAAACTGAATCTCAAACTAAATCATATAGATTACGTCTCAGGAATGTGCCATATTAAAAAAAAAAAAAAAGGAAGAGTCTGCAATAGCACACGTGGTTCTCACTTTGAGGAGGTGATCATGATACTCATTGGAAATAGTGAAGGGATTTTAGGGCTTAAGTCAGCATACATTAATCACTACTCTATAGAAATCTAAAGAGACACTGGGACAAAATTAAAAGGAGTTTAGGTTGAAAAGAAATAGAGATGGAGGTAGTACCTCAGGGACAGTTTTGAGGCACTAGGTAACAGTTTTCACTATATCTTAGAAAGCTGCCTGAAATTTCCCATGCTTTTAGGAATAATATATAACTGAACTTTAAAAACATATGTATGTGAAAATTGAAATAAATGAATTTATAAGTTACCTGATACCACATAGCAATCACAGGAAAACAGAACACTGATATATATTTTAAATGTAAATAAACTCAACAAAAGATATCCTCCTGAATTTTTAACTTGGTACCTAATGAATACCATCAAAATGGAATATAGCTGTGGGTGTCACCAGAAAATTGTTTTATGGGAACACTTTAATAATTAATTTAGGGATTATGCCAAGCTTTAAAACATAAAGCTGAAAAGTTATCTAATATTTAATGAAAATACATCATCTTTTAGTTTTTCAGGTCTAACCAAGTTTTCATTTCCCTCAAATTTTTTAAAAAATATCCTTTCCCCACATGAATTCAATGATTTCCAATCCAACTTACTTCCAGATTATATTAATGATGTAAACACAAAATTATACATGCACATTCCTACTTGAAAGTTGTTAGCTTACAGGAAATATTTTAAATTCTGAAATCTAGGCTTTATAATAGCACTGCAGCTAATACATTGTATGTACATATATATTCATTTTAGCTATAATTATAACACATACTTTCATTTATATACCCTCTGATACTACATCAGAAAGATTTTCAATAGATATTCTCTCTCGTCTCTCTACACTCAATATATATACTGAAAATACTGAGTACTGATGCCTACCATCACTCTTTAATCAAAAGAAAATTACTTAATGTTGCTTTATATTATTTTAGTAATAATTTTGCTATTAAGCTTCCAATGTATAGGGTTTTTTTGATAAATGAGCTTTAATACAGAATTATAGACTTTATAAGACCCCCTTGTCCACTTAATTAATAAGATTTTTTTTAACACTGAAAATACAATATACTAAATTATGAGTTCAGGGAGCATTACATAGTTTATTAATAACTTAGTCTTAAAATAGGATACTTGGTAAAAGGGATGACTGAATAAAATTTTGAACCCCCTTCAACTCAGACCTATGCATCTGTTCTCAATGTGCAAGACATTGGAAACGTCTTGCTTTGGGTCTATTTGTTTACATGGAAATATCCTATATCAGGATACACTGCTTTTTCCTTCTAATGCCTTTTCTGTTGAGGTTTTATGGATTCATTTTCTATTACCCACTTACTCCCATTGGCTTTTTATTTTTCAATTACTATAGAATCAAGCTGAAAGTTCATTTCATCATTAAAGTTCATTAGAGATTCAGAGTTGATTAAAAACTTAATATGGCACTCAATGGAGAAATTAGATCTTAATGGAGCATACCCATGGTATTTCAGTACTATTGTTGTTAATAAAGGAAAGAGAGACACTTAGAAAACTAAGAAGTATTTCAAGGTAATGCAAAATTTGAAGTGTAGTTTTATCTGGAGGTATAGTTGTCAATATATCCGAAATATTCAATACTCCATAAAATACACACACACACACACACACACACACACACACACATCACCATTATCTAATTTTAAAAATATATTGTTTAAACAGTCTTTGTTATAAACTCTATATGTATATGTTTTTCTTCTTTGAAAAATACTTTTCTATTTCTTAATCTGTTCATTATTTTTTCTTTGTTCTCTAGAGAATAAAAATACAGGAGTAGTATTTGGGGCCATTTTAGGTGCTATTCTGGGTGTGTCATTACTTAGTCTTGTTGGCTACTTGCTGTGCGGAAAAAGGAAAACAGATTCATTTTCCCATCGGCGACTTTATGATGACAGAAACGAACCAGGTAAAAATAACTTTTAGAACTTCACCACATACCGTGGTTTTAATTAAAAGAGGATGCTAATGTTCCTACATTACCTAGAAGGGATTCAGAGATTCATATGACAGAAACAGACTAAAGATTTATTATGATCAATTCTCTGTTTCTCAAAGACCATAATCAAAATAATTATGGACCTATGGGTGGAATTTGAAAGCCATTTGGAACTGTGGCTCATTGCATCACAACTAGTTTTAAATAAAACAAATCCCAGAACCTGAAACATGTCTATAAAATTGGAAGATAATGATATGCTATTAAGGAAAAACTGGCCAATGTGGTTAGCAAGTAACTGCAAAGCCATTCTTTGCCATTGTTAGATCTCTTAGCAGCAGTAATTTGAACAAAGACTTATTCTTTTTATTTTTTTTCTAAGAGAGGTGGGTAGGGGGAAGACAGATGAAGAGACAGAGAGAGAAAGAGAGTGAGAGAAAGAGAGAGAGAGGATCTCAAGCAGGCTCCACACTCAGTGAGGAGCCTGACACAAGGCTTGATCTTATGACCTGAGCGGAAATCAAGAGTCAAGACACTCAATAGACTGAGCCACCCAGGTGCCCCTGAACAATGACTTATTAAAATAATTGATTAAGGCTACTGTATCTGTGTAAACTTTAGAAGAACTCCAAATTAGAATAAGTCTCTAAAACAGAATCTATAAAGAGTTGTATATTTGGGTACATAAAGTCACAGTAATTCAGGAATTTTTCACTCATGTGAAAGAAAAGACCAACAACAGCATCTATGAAAAAGAAATGTATCTGCTAAGAATGAAGCAGTGAATTTGTTCTTAATGCCATAATACTAATAAGAACAGAAATGAAATAACTTCAAATAATTGATTCATTTTCTTAATACTTCAAGAAAAAATATTGTTTTCTGGTTTACATAAGGGATGCTTGTCATCATAAAAAAAAATAGTTAAATGTCCCTGGTACATCCTGTTGAGAAAGTCTTCTTGATTTTTAATAAGTTCAGATCATGACTGACATATTATTCATCTTCAGAAGCACATCCATTAATTGAAAATTTAACTTAATTCTATTTTGGGGGTTTCTAGCAACCCATATAAAATAAAAAGTGGCATTTTTCCAAATTAAAGGATAGGATTTCAAACAATAGGGGTATCCAATCTCTTTTTTTTTTTAACACCAGAATCTTTTCTTTATCTGTAATCACAAGCAAAAGCTCAAGTGTATCACACTGATACAATTTAAGACATGATTGAGACAGAGGGGAATAACTCAATCATATCACTGGTTTTACTCCTTCAAGAAAGCTCCCCCAAATCCCTAAGGTTCTTGGGAATCCAGTTTGTAAACAGATGGCTTAAAGAATTGCTAGTATATGAGACTACCTAAATGAATAATGAGATCACTAATATAATTAGAAATTAGTCACTGCTTTATTATTTAAAGATACCTAGTGCATGCCAAGTTCTCTTTGAAAAACTGAAATAATTAAGACAATAATAATTGGCTGTACATTGAAAAAGTAAAAAATAATCTCATAACATTAATCAGAAAATGTCAGTGCATGGTAACTAGGATCTATCACAAAGAAACATAAGCTTTTACAGATAGTCTTCTTCTGTCTCCATCTTCCCTGGTTCAACCATAAAAATGTTGAGGCACTTAGTAAAATCATGATTAAAATTAAATCATTTTAAAATCATTGATTTAAAATTAATGCTCTTCACTTTTTAAAAAATATTTCTTGCACCAGCAGTAAAAATTCTGAACATGTTGACAAAGCTCTAAATTCACAAGATTCAAAAATCAACGAGACATCTGCCTATACTTCTTCATGAAAAGTATTGCTCTCCTTTTGTTGCAATCTCTCCTTTATTTCCTTTACTTTTGGTCCACCAGGAGTAAAATTATGGGTTAAACTGTTCTTTTAGTTTAGAAACATATATTGAAAAATATGTACTTATTTAAATTTCAAACCTAGTATCTGAAAAGCCCATATAACAGAGGTACTTAACTTACTCATCTAGAACAATTCCTACAGTCCGGCAGATGCCTGAGCATGCATCTTCCAGACTGTTACCATAAAATAATTATTTTTGGTTACTTTTTAGTTCTGCGATTAGACAATGCACCGGAACCTTATGATGCAAGTTTTGGGAATTCTAGTTATTACAACTCAACTATGAATGATTCATCTATGCCAGCAGGCCGAGAAAATGCACGTGACGGCATTCCTATGGATGACATACCTCAACTTCGCACCTCGGTATAAAACCAAGAGGAAAAGGCTTCTGATGGAAAATGATCACCTACATCGTAGTTTTTTCACAAACCCATCTTCCGAAAGCTGAAGCAAGATCACTGTCATGGCCCATGCCAAAAACAACCATAAAACAAGAGACTCATAGCAGAAACAGAGGATAATCTAAAAGGTTTCCTTTCTTACCATTTTTGGCTGTGCTGAGCCATCTATTGAGTAACCTTAATTTGTATTTTGGTCTATGTTATTCTTAGTAGGAAACGTTTGTGGGAATCAGGTGATACTAAAGAGTTTCACATTGATTGCCCTGCCTGATTAACCCTATATTAATTAACCCTATATTTCTAATGCCATGCATCAAGATTGGCACTCTCTTCAAGGAACACTGGGAGAGTAATTTATTTTTAATTTTGACTTAGAACAAGAGAGAGAGACTATACAGAGTTTCTGTTTCTGGGAAATTCAACTAAGTTAGTAGAGTAATAGGAGTGAGAGATTTGTTCTCTAGTACATTTAACTTTCCTATATCAGCACATCCATGGTAAGCCCCTTGAGTTGCCAAGTTGACAATGACTTTGCCTTCAACAGGGCCATGGTTGGAAAACTGGCCCTAACCAGGAAAAGAATCATTTCTCTTCAAAGAGTGGGAAATGCTAACCTGTCTGATTGATTTTAGGCCTCAATTAATCAGGTGCTTTAAAGACTCAATGAGAAACATGAAGAATAAAGTCAGCCAAAGCATATATTTGTACATATTATTTACAGCTTTAAGATGTTAAATAAGAGCAAGATTTATTATGTATTCAGTATCATTGCTTGATTGATTCCATAAATGGAATAGATTCAGGATCTCTAAGTGTAAAAGTCTAAGGTTTAAAAATAGATGAATGGAAATATGCAAACAAAAACTTCTGAGCATCGCTTTTACAAGCAGAAATAGAAGAAGTGTCATTTGGATTCATATGACATCTTTCAGTCATATGTTTCAGTTTGTTCTTAATTACCACCTGCTTTCGGCAAGAAAAAAATGCACTCAATATAGGAAGGTTGAGGTTTTAGGGACTAAAGGATCAGATCAAGAGTTAAAGTCCCAAGAAGCAATGAATATGTGAAGAGGGCAAACAAATCGAGAGATTTCATTGTTAAATTGACATATGGGTGCACGCAGAAACACAGTGTGTGAAGAAACACAGCAGCAGCAGCCTCAGAAAATGAGGACCAGGAATTAAGTAACAGGAAAACCTACTTACCCCATATTGCCATAAAAATAGCAAAGAAGACTGTTCCTCCATTATCAAACAAATATGTCACCTTAATGGAAAACAAAGCACAAATATTAGTCACATATTGATTATAATAATCTAGTGATTTCTGTCTACATTTAGATTCTATGATTTTTTAAAAAAGTAATCACATTATTTTATGATTTGTAAATATGAGGTATGAGATTCTTTCATGGGTTCTGCAACTGTTTCATATGATTTTCTCTTTGGGGAGCCGTGAGGGGTCAGCATTTCCCCCTCCCCTCCTTTCTTCTTTCTTCCTTTCTATTTCCTTTGGACTTCACCTTCAATTTCTGCTTAAAAGTGGCTCTTGTGCCCTGAGGAAGTATTTGTGGGCCATAGATAGTCAGGGTAAAGTTAGCTGTTCAGTGGTGCATACCTAGCTGCACTTCCTGTCAGCAAAACTTCCAGGAATGAGGAAGTTACAAAATGAAGAATTCCACCCATGAGCCAAATCATTCAGTGGAAAGTATCACAGTGCTATCCCTACTTTCTGACATCTTTCAGAATGTGCCATGGGTCCAACAGTGGCTACGAGTTTGTCTTTTTTTTTTTTTTTTTTTAAGAAGTTTCATATGTCACTTAACATTTAGGATATAGTCCAAGTGTTTTTGAATCAGACATTATCTGAATTTTTATAAAGAAAAATGCGTGGTTGTATGATGCTACTGAATATAATATTCAGGATTGTAAAGATTGTTTGATTTTAATAAATTGTGAATTCAACTTACCATTGCTTCTTTTCATTTGTATAATGCCCTCACTATATTTATATTCTATATAGTGAGGGAAATTAAAACAATACAGTCAAGGCAATATATGTTTGACAGTCATATAAATATTATAGAAACTATAGGGAAAAGAGGGATACTATCCACACAGGAGAGAAAGGCCAATTAGGGACTAAAGAACACTATTATAAGGGAAGTAGGAATAGAATGATGGTTTTTTTGCTCAGTCTACAGTCTAGAGACTGGTCAGTGGGGGCATTAAAACAATACTAATGTTTATTTTAATTATAACATCTGGAACACACTGCAAAACAGTATGTAAAACAGATAAAGGTAGGGTGTATTTTCCTGTAATATAATGGTACTGGAAATATATTTATACAACACATGTGCTCCTTTCAAAGGTTTGTGGATAGGTGCAAGATATCCTGGATGGCCCTGAACTTCTATGATTGTTGAGACTTGGGAGTTCTAAAAATATTATGAGAATTGGTTTTCACAGCAGTCATCACTATATATTATGTACAGGAGAGAAAAGGGCCATAAAGAAATTCTCCTACAGAGCTCATAAAATTACACCCAGGGGGGGAATCCAGCATTTCTGTTTCCAAAGGCATCCCGCGGAGACACCTGCTGTTGCCAAGCAGCTGAACAGCTGTCTGCTTTCCTTTATAAGAGACTTAGTGCAGGAAACAGTCTCTTAGAGTGTGAGAACAGAGACTTTACACATGGGGACTTAAAGGTCACTAAGGAATGCTGGCTCTCCCCTGCTCCAGAAAGAGCAGTCCTCTTAGAAAAGGGGCAAATGAAGAGCCATGCTTACCAATAATTGTGTGGTATGAATATGATTTGTCATAGTTTATGAAATATTTTCCTTAAAAACGTTTTTCATTTTATATCTTCTAAGTTGGTTTACAAATCTTTCAGCTCCCCCTTTTTTTACTCCATAAATTAAACACGAATGTTTTAGAAATACATCCATGAGGCACAGAGAGGTATGCATGTGATACTCATGTAATATGAGATTCCAAGAATGCCAGGGAAGATAAAGCTAAAATGGGAGTTAATGGAAAACTTGAGAAGCTGCCCTAAGGAGGAGTATAAAAGTATAAAATCCTTGTGTGAGAGACACTAAGATATCACAGGTGGGATGCATTACAATGTGGGGGGCCACAGACACAAGAAGAGCAATTTGATGCCTGCAGTTATGGCTTGAGGTGCTAAGGGTTACACTGAGGGTGTTGATATGAGCTGGTGAATGAAAACGGGGAGCAGGGAGAAGAAAGAGTAAAACATAGCATGGATGGCTCAGGCTCAACGTGTGTTTGGCAAGAGAATAAAGGGGGAAGAGGCCTTCTGCTCAACAGGAAAGGGATCCTTGCGCTATGAAAGAAAATTCCAGATGAAATTTAAAAAAAAAAATCCCAAAGCAGAATAGACTTTTCCAAAACCAAAGGAAGTTTGTCCTATCTATTAGTGTATGCATGCAATGACTTATTTTATGAGAAAAACAGCTCCCCTTTATGCATAGGGGGACCTATGGACAAGCATTTTATTCAACATTGTTGATGTGAATAGGAATAATATATAAAGACAGAAGCAAACTGAACCTCAAATGAAACTGTGTTGAAGCACAAATTCTCCGTTGTCTTTGACATCTGATTTCTCTTGGAGAGGTGAGTATGGTGAGACACCATTAAATGTGGGTATTGTTAAAAAAAGGTAAATTTCTTACTAGGTTGGAAGCTTACAGTCTATGGCCCTTCTACGGTAGTTGCTGGGTCTGTCTCTCTAATTGTTTGACGGGTTCAGATTAGCATAAGCCTCTGGAAACTGCCGCTGATGCTCCATTAAAGCCGCTGTGGGCCAAGGAGAACAAGGCACTTCTTGGGCAGACTCAACCTTGCCAACCAGGCTATTCCATACAAAGAGGAGCAAGGAGGTGGCATTTAGCCTGGAGTTCAGTCCTCTCTCACTTCCTCAGTCCTTCATTCTCAGACAGGGAAAATCTGTGTAACTGCCTTTGTCCACGGCACCTGATTACAAGCTGCAACACACATGGGGACATCAGTAGTCCACACCAACACCCTCTCTGTTCCTGACCCATTATTATTTAGGGCAATATCTTTGTTAAATGTGGTTCTAGAAATCACCTAAGGAGCTTGTTAACATGCGGGATTCTAAACCTTACCCTCAACCAATCGATTCTGAATTTTAAGACTTGGGGCCCAAGACTCTACTTTTAAACAAATGTCCTATGTGATTCATATAGCAACTTTTCCATAAAGTTTCTTAAAGGAAAAATGCTCTGATCTCTTTCTATTGTAGCCTCAATATCAGTGTATGGTCTGAGCTCATACTTGGTATTGAGCAAAAGTTTACTGAGTAGGTTAAAAAAAACAGAAACTAATAACTATTATGAGCAAGGTTCACCTCAAGTGTTGAGATACTTTTAAAATTATATGAGAAATCAATGCAAAACTCTTTTGTCTAATGATTTCACCTTAAATGAGAAACCCTAGCATAATGCGAACTGACATTGTGGTGTTAGGTGCTTTTAAATGACTTGTGCAAACATCACTGAATTACTTAATTGCAAAATTTTCTTAATTCTCATACTTTTAAGGATTAAAATGTAAAACAGTCATCAAATAAAATGTTAATGTACTTAAAATTTTTACCACATGATGGGAACAATTTTGTTTCATGAAACACATCTTTTAAATAATTAAAATAATTACATGCACACACACATACTTTTCCAGAAAATCTGACAGATTTAATTTCTTGTTACTTATCACAAGTGGTGAATGACTCCACAAGGAATTAGCAAGTTTCTAGAAGACGTGGTTAGATGATCCTAGATTGGCTGGCCTGTTTCTTTGGTAATAATCTGTTCCTTTATTTATGACACTTCCTTTCAAATAAGTTCTAGATGTTTAAGTTTATAAACTGATATTTTAAAAGAATGTTATTTCCATCAGTGAAAGAATAGTAATTCTTATTTTTAAGGAATAAAACAAGTAGCTACATTTTATCTTAGCCAGAGGAACAAATATAATACATATTACATATTCCTTCCTGGTGGGGTTTATTTCTTGCATTGTTCCAGAACACAATATTCTTCTCTGCAAGGTAACTTTTCCACCTTCTTTATAATAGTTATTAACTGAGTTCTTTATTAGTCATACCTGTCCCTATACATACCCTTTTCTACTAATATTGCATAATGACAAAAGCCTCCTATATTTAGTGTTTCCTTTGACAGTTTCTTTGCTTTATCACTCTGCCATTGGGGGTGTTTCTTATTTTTAGTGTTCAGATAATGCTAGTGTGCTTTATTAAATCTGTCCAAGTAAAAGTAGAAGTAACATATATATGGATTTGTTGGTCTCCCTAAGGCTGGCATATGTCCTTGAAATGCATGGCTAGGAGGACAGGTATCTCTACATCTAATAACTTAAATATTTGGTTTTTGCAAAAAGTAGTCAGAAAATGCTTCCCCAAACAAGACATCTTTGTGGAACACTTAATTAAAAACTAAGTACAATTTTTAAAATTAAACTATAAATAAAACTGATTTTTCCCAAGCCTTGTATTCACAATGAATAATCCAGAAACTAATTTTACTAGGTTTGGTCTTATAGACGGATATCGAGTGACTTCTGAGTTTACATCCTGCCTCATCAACTTAATTGTATAGAGACCTGTACTCTGAACAAAATGGAGTAACAGAAATTGATTTTACCCCCATTTTGGAAACAACAAAAAATGCACAAAATACATAAGCAACAGATTTCAAGACAGTGGATATTAGGCAGGAAGGGCCATCAGTGATCCCTGAGACGAGGAAAACATGTGAGGTGAGCATTACAACTGCCTCAGATTACTACACGGAGATGGTTTGCAGGGTGCAGTTATGGGCACCCCAGACAGTGCCCAGAGAGCATGTCTGTAAGGAATCCTTAAAGGCTTATTAGTGAGCCCATTCCCACCAGCCAAAAATCCTTTATTTGCAGTGATTTGGTACAGTACACAGCCAGATCTTGCTTTCATTGTGGGGAAAATTTTGTGCTAGTTATAGTACTGCTAGGAACCTACCTCACAAATCTTAAAAGCAAGACCTGGAGCATCTGGGTGGCTCAGCTGATTGAGAATCTGACTCTTGATTTTAGCTCAGGTCATATCTTCTGCGTTCATGGGACAGAGCCTTGCATTGGGCTCTATACTGACAGCACAGAGCCTGCTTGGGATTCTCTCTCCTCCTCCCTGTCCCTCTCCTGCTCATGCTCTCTTTCTTTCTCTCTTTCTCAAAATAAATAAAATTTTAAAAAAGGTCCAAATTATTTCCAAGCAACTAAACTACAATATCTCTATACATCTGTTAGAATACTTAGAATAAAAAAGACTGGCCATCCTGAGGATTAGTGATTATATGAAAAACTGGAATTCTCATATACTGTGGATAGAAATGTAAAATGGTATAAATGCTTGGAAAACATTTTGGAAGTTTCTTGGAAGGCTGAACATCCATCTATTATATAATCTAGTCATTTTACTCCTAGGTGTTTACCCAAGAGAAATAACAGTGCCTATATGGAGATTTGTAGATGAATGTTCAGAGCAGCTTTATGTAAAATGGTAATTCAAAACAACCCATGAGTCCATTAATAAACAGATAGACACACTCTGGCATAGCTGTGTAATGCAATACTCCTCAGCAATAAAAAGAAATGATCTCCTGATAAATGTTACAACATGGTTGAATCTCAGAATAACTGTGCAAAAGAACCAGAAAGAAACCACACACTGTATGATTCCATTTACATAAGAGTCTAGAAAATACAAACTTTTCTATAAAGACAGAAAGCAGTTGGTTGCCTAGGAACAGGGGGTGGAACTGGGGAGGAGAGGGAGGCAGAGATTATAAGAGGCCAGGAGGAAACTTTTGGAAGTAATTATATGTTCATTACCTTGCTTGGGTGAGGGTTTCACAGATGCATATGTAACGTCAAAATGTATCAATTTATATACTTTATATGTGTACATATTATTATATGTTAATTATACTTCAATAAAACTTTTACAGATAAACAATAATCATTGTAAAATTCAGTTTCTCAAACTTGTATGCTCGTGGGAATCATCTGGGAAGTTTTAAAATAGACTGATGTCTATGTCCCAAACCCAAAGGTACTGATTTAATTAATTGCTCTGGGGTTTGGCTTGGGCTTCAGAAGTTTAAAAACCCCTTTAGGTTATCCTAATAGGCAGCAACTTGAGAATTTTTAGTATGTTGTTTCTTTTCTTCTGTAAAAGTAAAGTATTGGACTTTTTGTTTTTATTTTTATTTAGAGAGAGAGTGTGCACAAGCTGGGGAGTGGGGCAGAGGAACAGAGAAAATCTTAAGTTCAGGGCTCAATCCTATAACCCTGGGATCATGACCTGAGCTGAAATCAAGAGTTGGACACTCAATTGACTGAGCCCCCACAGGTACCCCTAAAATTAAAAGTATTATAATGAGTATTCATGGATGATAGAAATTTAATCATTAGCAAGAGAAATAATCATCTTCTAAAAAAGAATCTAGATGTCATTCCAAGTGGAAGTTTATGTCCATTATGACAATAATCAGTTATAAACACAAAGATTAAAATATTCAAATATAAATATATTCATTTTATAATTGATGCCAAATGATCTATTCAGTCTTCACTTCCTACTACCTGCTTCTGAGAAAAAGTAGAGCTCAGGAAGGAGAAGGTGAGGGTCCACACTCACCTTGGCATAGATACAGCTTTCGTTGAGTCTCTGCAGTGAGCAATTCTTGTCACAGAGAGGGCACATGAAGACTTCAGTGGCCTTGCAAATTTCTTGGCTTGAGAAACCAAAGAAGAGAGAGAAAGCATGAACCTCCAAGCTTAAGAAGGTGCTTAGCCCCTCTGGCTAGTCCTGTGGGAAGCAGCAAGACAGAAAGGAAATGATGCCACGGAGAGCGGGAGTGGTGGACAGGTAAGCAAGAAAGTGTGTCTACAACTCAAATTTTTAGGGTATTGTGATGTGATACAGAGATTTCTTTTTTTTTTTTTTTTTTCTTTGGTTCTTCACTTTTAGAAGTCTCTGCCAGGATACTGTAATGATAGTAGGCCATATTTGACACTTGTGAGACACTTGTGGGGCTTTGTTACAAGTACAGTTACATGTGATTTCATGGCAATGAGGGTAATCCTGTGAGGAACACCTAAGGGAGTTTTAGTCAATCTCACAGCTTGGAAGTGGCTGAGCTAAAATCAAATCTTTCTCCTGGATCTCACACCTTAGAACCACCGAGATGAACAGCATCCGTAAGTCACACAAATTCATAACTCAGCCTCCAGTCAATAGGGGCATCATGTTCACTGGAAATTTGAGGGAGTTAATTTTTGGTGTGTGGTGTCTTGACATACAGTCATGATGATATGACATAGTCTTTATTTACTGAAACATTATATTTTCTATTAGAATATAATTCGATAATATTTGTCTCTTCAGTTTTATGCCCACTACCTTTGAAAGATCTCAGCATCCATGATAGATGACTTGTGATAGGAGTAGAGCACCAGTAACAATTTCTCAAAAGCCTCTCAGCCTGAGTGTTCACACAACCTATTTTTAAAATGTTTTGTGCTTTTATCTGTCAGAAGTGGTCCTTTCCCACTTAGTAGCCTCTAAATAAATTATCTTTAATTAAATCTGCTCTGGAAATGTTGAAAGTAATTTAAAGGCTTTTGACAATAAGTCTGGAAATGCAACTGTTAATAAAGGTTTAATTGGGGGCGCCTGGGTGGCTTAGTCAGTTAAGTGTCCGACTTTCGCTTCGGTCATGATCTCGCGGTTCGTGGCTTCGAGCCCCCCGTCGGGCTCTGTGCTGACTGCCGGCTCAGAGCCTGGAGCCTGTTTCAGTCTGTGACACACTCTCTCTCTGACCCTCCCCTGCTCACGCTGTCTCTCTCTCTCTCTCTCTCCTAGAAATAAATAAAACATTAAAAAAAAATAAAGGTTTAATTGGCAGTGTTTATAGCACAATTTACTGTTTTCAAAAATGTACATTCAAACGAAGCAAAAAACAATGTATTTCGAATACTGGATGTATAAAATCTCACTCTAGAGTACGAATAAATAGTAAGTAATAATACTATATAGTAATACAATGCTTTAAAGTGGGCAAAGGTGGGTTCATGTCCATTAACTCTGGTCCTCACTTCAATCTTCTGCAATGGTTAATTACCTCCACAAGTGAGAGGAAACTGATGTTCAATTTAAGTAATTTGCTCAAGGTCGTACAGCTAAAAAGAGGTACTTCAGGGAACCAAATTTAGGTTTTTGTGATTCTAGGTCCAGTTTTCCATCAACTACAACATATCTCAAAGAGAAATGTTTATTTCATTTTAAAACTGACTTTCCAGTGAAGGGAATTGAGTACACTTCTGATGATGGGAATGGCATGCCCAAATGCACAGAATTGTTGAATCATTATATTGTACACCTGAAATGAATATTACACTGTATGTTAACTGTACTTGAATAAAATGTTTGATAAAAAATAAAATAAATAACTTTCTTATAAAACCAGTTTATTATTGATGATGATAGTGTTACAGGTCTAGGAAATACAATAATTCTCCTCCTTTCATACACACCATCTTGCTAGTAATCTAGATGTCTATGTGAAGTAAAACAGGTAAAACATACATATTAAAAGACCAAAGGAAAAAAGATGATACGTCTTTTTAGCAATGCTGCTAATTTGTAGGAACAAGTAGAATTAAAACAGTCCTTGAAAGAAATTTTCAAAGGAAATTTCAAAAGAAATTAAAACTTCAAAATTCATTGTGTTTCAAGAATAACAGGATGTGTCCTGCATTGAAATCCCATACTAAAAAGTATTAGAAGTTTATACCACATCATTCTTCCCACTTTCCAAATGATCAAAGAAAAGCACAAATCTATCAAAACATCATGTCTAGAATCCCAAACTGTCAGACTGAGCCCTATTTTTAATTCCAGAATTGTTAAATTTATTTTAAGTAAGTTTTTCAAAGTTTAACTTGATATGTAACATTAAAAAATAAGCAATTTTTGACAACGTATTTTTTAGCCTGAAATAAGGAGTTTAACACCAGCACAAATTTCTTTGACTTTAGTTAACCGCTAGAGGGAGGGAGAGTGCACAGCATGAGGGTTTCTTCATTTCTCCTGCACAGCCTGATTAACAGAAACCACTACTTGAATTGTGGCTTTCTTATGCTTTACATCTATTGTGAGATATACATCAAGGGCTGATTTGAAGGAAATAATAATTACCACCAACTTAAGATAGCAGGAGAAGGGAGCAATTTGTCTTTTTGGGGGGTGGATGTCTGGACCCACTCCCTGGCCTTCCTGTGATCCTGTAAACATGACAAAGCACAGAAGATGCTTTGTGATACCCATTTTGAGGGAAGTGAAAATGTAAAAATACGTTAAGGGAAGGCAGTATAGAAGAAGCATGAGTAAAACATGGATTTTAGAATCAGAAACAATTATTGAGAAAAAGCAAATCAAATCACAAGATACTACCCCAAAGCTGTTAGGATCACTATTACCAAACAAAATAAAACAAAGATACATGTGTTGGCAAAGTTGTGGAGGTTTTGGAATATTTGCACCAAATTGTTGGTGGGACTGTAAAATGGTGCAGCCCCAATAGAAAACAATATGGACCTTCCTCAAAAACTTAAATATAGAGCTACTATATGATCCAGCAATCCCACTTCTGGGTATATATCTAAGAGAACTGAAACTCAGACCTAGAAGAGATACCTGTACTCCTATGTTCCCTGCAACATTATTCACAATAGCCAAGATATGAAAATAACCCAAGTGTCCATTGACAAAGGAATGAATAAAGAAAATGCAGTATAAACACAACATAGACTATTATTCAGCCTAAAAAAAAGAAGGAAATCCTGCATATGCAATGACATGAATAAACCTGGAGGACATTATGCTAAGTGAAATAAGCCATCCCCAGGACAAATATTGCATGATTTCACATATATTAAGGATTTAAAACAGTCAAACTCAGAGAAACAGAACAGAATCGTAGTTGCCAAAGGGTAGGAAAGGAGGAACTGAGGAATTGCTGTTCAACAGATGTAAAGCTTCAGTTATAGAAGACAAATAAGTTCCAGAGATTTGCTGTACAACATTGTGCCTTGAGTTAATAATACTGTAAAGTGCACTTAAAATTTTGTGAAGAGGGTAAATCTAATGTTAAGTGTTCTTACCACAATTAAGAAAAAATCCAGTAAAGGTTTAAAACTTAGCTGACCACATACTATATACATTCTCCTGACCAAGTCACTAACCTCTCTGAGGATCTGTTTCTTCATCTCTAGATGAAAATAATATCTAGCTGTGATATTACATAAGGGATATGTACATATTACATAGGATGTGCATGGCACATCATAGGCACTAGATAAATAGAATCTCATTGTTAAGGATGTTGTCAGGAGAGGGTTCAAGAGGTCCTTTAGTACCCAACTGTTTTTGAAAGGCTGGTCTGATACTGAAAACCACATAAATTTCTCAGTGAGTTCTAATGCCAAAGAGGAAAGAAGGGACCAGAAAGTTGGGGTTTCTGCTCTTTGTTCTGGACCTGAAAAACTATTTTATCTGCCTGCTTGTTCATTTTCATATTCCTATGATATGCCTGATATTCTACCAGGCAAAAATCTGACAATAGCTGGTTAGGTAAGGCCAATGAACAAATATAAATAGACACATGTACATATACATACAATAAGTAATCTACAAATTGACTGCTACCTAATTCTACAATGAGTTACAGAACAATTAAGCAATATGACCATAGTTTATATAAATGTAGATTGTAGAAATGTAATAAATCAAACCCAATCTTCAGCTTTTTAACATTTTGTTACCTTGTAATAAAAAATAAAGAGCTTAATAGAATAATATGAAAACAATGCAACACCAAATAAAGTCCCCGTGTCCTCCCCTGACTTGCCATAACACCTACGACTTAACCATGTCTGACACCTTGAATAGAAAATTTCAGTCCCATGAAATTTTGAAAGTCAAGATATTCAGTGATGCTTATCTTGGTTTAGAATAGAAAGTCTGACAAGATGTTAATTATAGTGTGACAGAGTAGCGGTAATAGAATACCATAAAGCGCTGAAGAAAAGAGTTTGCTATTGCCTTTTAAAACACTCCTTGTACTAAAGGTACTTATATACAAGGGGTCTAATTTACTCTGTTGGTACATAAATCAATAGGAAGAGCAAATCTATTCCTTTCATTGTTTTGCTAATTTTCAGCTTTGCAGGGGTAGAGGAGAATCTGCCACACATGGTAAAACTTGTGAATATGTTCTCCATAGAACCAATCTGAATAATAGCTAACCATCTGAGAATCATTTTATGTCTTCATCCATTCATCTTAAAAGAGTGGTTTTCTAAAACCCCAAGAGCTCTACCAAAAATACTATTAGAACTAATAAATGAATTCAATAAAGTTGCAGAATACAAAATCAATATGCAATTGTCAGTTGCATTTCTATATCGCAGGGATAAACTATCAAAAAGAGAAATTAAGAAAATAATCCCATTTACAAATGCACCAAAAAGAATGAAGTAATTAGGGCTGAATTTAACTAAGGAGGTGAAAGATCTACACACTGAAAACTAAGACACTGGTGAAAAAAATTGAAAAAGACACAAAAAAATAGAAAGATATTTTGTGCTCATGAATTGGAAGAATTAATATTGAAATGTCCATACTACACAAAGAATTCTACAGATTCAACACAATCTCTATCAAAGTTCAATGGTATTTTCACAGAAACAGAAAAAGCAATCCTAAAACATGTATGGAACATGAAAAACCCCAAATAGGCAAAGCAATCTTGAGAAAGAAGAACAAAATGGAAGGCATGACATCTCCTGGTTTCATATAATATTTTAAAGCTATAGTAATCAAAAATTAAGGTATTGGCATAAGAATAGACACATTTATCAATGGAACATATTGATATATGGAACAGAACCCAGAAATAAACCCATGTATATGTGGTCAATTTTCAACCTAGGGGCCAAAATATATAATGGAAAAAGGATAGTTTCGAAGAAACTAGATGGTGTTGGAAAAACTGGATATTCACATGAAAAGAATGAAACTGAACCCTTATCTTACACTATATGTAAAAATTAACTCAGAATAGATTATAGACTTAAATGTAGGTCCTGAAACTATAAAACTCCTAGAAGAAAACATAGGGGGTAAACTTTTGAAATTGGTCTTGTCAATAATTTTTAGTATTTGACACCAAAAGCAAAGGCAACCAAAGCAAAAATGAACAAATGGAATGGACTACATCAAACTAAAAAGCTTCTGCATGTCAAGGAAAACCAACAAAACAAATAGGCAACCTACAGAATGGGAGAAAATATTTACAAAACATATATCTGGTGAGGGGTTAATATCCAAAGTATATAAAGAACTCATAGAATTCAATAGCAAACAAACAAACAAAAAGCAATCTGATTTAAAAAATGGGCAGAGAAACTGAAGAGATTTTTTTTTTCAAAGAAGATATACAAATCAACAGATATGTGAAAAGGTAACTTACTATCATTAATCATCAGGGTAATCCAAATCAAAGCCACAATGAGGTATCACATCACACCTGTTAGAATGCCTATAATCAAAGCATTGCTGATGGGAATATAAGTTGGTAAGCCATTATGGAAAACAATATGGAGGTTCCTCAAAATATTAAAAATAAAACTCCCCCCAAAAAAATAAAAAATAAAAAAATAAAAATAAAACTCCCATATGATCCAGGAATCCCACTTTTAATTAAATAAATATAAATATAAACATAAATATTATAGGAAATGAAAATAAGATCTTGGAGAGATATCTGCATTTCTATGTTCATTGCAGCAATACTTACAATAGCCAAGATAAGTAAACAACCTAAGTGCCTATCAATGGATCGATGGATAAAGAAGATGTGGTATAGTACATAATGGAATATTCAGCCATGAGAAAAAAAGAAATGTTGCCATTTGTGACAACATGGATGGACCTTGAGGGAATTACACTAAGTGAGATAAGCCAGAGGAAGAAAAATATTGCATGGTATCACTTTATATGTGAATCTTTAAAAAAGCCAAATTCATAGAAACAGAATAGAAAAGTAGTAAAAAAAAAAAAAAAAGTGTTTTTCTTTTCAAGACACTATAACTTCAAATCACAACCTGTTTTCTTAGCCTCAGAGGTTATTGATTCAACAGCACACAGAGATATGCCGAAACAGGGATGGATGTTTCCACTGGGCACATATTTGCTTTGGAAGATGCTGCCTTCCATACTGGTAGTGAATTTGCAAAACTCTGAAATAAACATATGACTAGATTAACTGTTTTTAAACAGTAAGTGTTTTTTTGTGTTCAAACTAATTAATATCTGGCCTTCATGGAGAGCAAGGGGACACTGAGATACCAAATCAAGGAAGTTGGTTATGGAACTAGATTTAACTCTAGGACAATGAAAGTAGTAAAATCTGGGATTGCAAGTAACTTGTTCTGCGAGTGTTCCCCAAGACAAGCAAACATTACTAATAAATTTTAACTTGATAAATGGGCGATACCTAGCAATATAAATAGTACATGATGCCAAAGATCACATGATCACAATTAAGGCAATGATTCTTGAAAATTCACTTTGATATATGAGTGCTTTGGATTATAAGCATGTTTCCAGAATGAATTATGCTTACAAATCAAGGTTTTATTGTATTTTGTTTTTAGGCAAATTGTTATACAATTACATATGCATATTACATATATATATAATGTACATAATATTATTACATTATATATTATGTACATAATATATATATATTTTGTTTGTGGGCAAATTGTTACATATATACATATGCATATTACACATATATATTACATACATAATATATTATTTATATGTAAATATTACATATATATTCATTTATTTAGAGAAAATTCAAGGAAATGCATTTTTATGATCTATTAACTGTCATGATTACTACCCAAGAGCAAGGCCATGGTTAAAAGATGGACCAAAGGAGAACAAAATGATTTTCGTATTTTGAATTGTACCATACAAGCCTGAACTTGATGATATCCTTGTATATGTTAAATAGAACACACTGTTAAGAGGATTCTTTAATGCTGACGTGAGTCTTATCTCTGCTGAATAATAATGTATTATGTCTCTACTCAAACTTTGAGTCATTTCAACTTTAACAGAAAAATCACCATTCTGATAAAGTCTTGATTTTTGTGAAACCTTATTTCACTACTGTCTTTTGATACCTTCAGTTGATACTAATATATATATATTTGTTCTTATAGAGAAGAAGAAGAAACTACAAACTGATTTTATGTTCTCACGAGAGAGGATTACTTACAGCTAGAATTATGTGCTACAGATACTTATGTATTTATTTATTCTCTAACTATGTAAGCTTCCCTCAGCTGCAAAAAGGAATATTAACCTCTAAGGATGGTAGTGAAGCTCTTATCAAAAGAAAAAAAAAAACAAACACTAACAGGAAGCTTTGTATATTGTAAGTGTTTAAAGAATTGTAACTATTCTAATTATTTACTACTGTATTGAAAGGGCATTCTAGACTACCAAATACTACAGAAATGTAAATTATATAAGACTATCATTGCATTGTTGAATTATTATGTGGGATGTACTGGCAAGAGAAATTTAGCATAAAGAGAAACAGTCTTAGAACTCATCCAATAGAATTTGCATATAAAAATATGGAAATGGCCTTTTAAAAATAGTGCTTTTCCCCTCCCCTCAAAAAACCAGCAAATAAATTGTAGCACAATGACTTGTTTTTTATAGTCAGTATATCATAAAGCTTTTGCCCAATCAGAATAGAGGCCAACACATTTTAATAAGTCTGTTAATAGCTTACCTTACTTGACTTGCATTCATTGTAAATATCCCATAGAAGAAAACACACAAGCCAACGAGTGCTGCAGGAATCAGCATGCCAGTATACCATCCCAGCCAAGCAAAGTATAGCCCAATCTTCTCACCAAAGTATAGCCTGAACAAGAAAGCAAACACTTAGCCTAAGGCAATGTAATCAACACTACAAAGGCTGATGTCACACCTCATCAGAATTTCTGATGAATATACTGTCTCAGTTCCTAGTGGGGTAACTTTTTAAAAATTTTTTTTAACATTTATTTAATATTGAGAAAGAGAGAGATAGAATATGAGCAGGGGAGGGGCAGAGAGAAGGGGAGACACAGAATCTGAAGCAGGCTCCAGGCTCTGAGCTGTCAGCACAGATCCCAACACGGGGCTCAAACCCACAAACTGCAAGATCATGACCTGAGCTGAAGTTGGACGCTTAACCCACTAAGCCACCCAGGCACCCCTCCATGTGGGGTATCATAATATCACCCCTTGTTAATGAACCCAATGATGGTGATGCTGTTTATCTTTAAACATGGTCATTATAAGGGGCAATTTTATTAAATGTATTCTTTCTGTGTTGAATTTCTTACTATGGCTCATAAAGCTCTTTCTTTAAAAGTCATCTCTTGCCTTTCTCTATCCTCCTTGTAGAATCTCTTTTTGATTTCCATACACAGAGCTGTACTAGACCAAACTGCTTTTGTGTGAATTAGGAAAATAAAAAAAAAAGTCTCCCCTATAGGTAAATGCTGAGAGTAGATTCCATTTCAGTCTCCATCTGTTCCCTTGGACAGACTTCCTTCTGCTAGACACAATTTGCACAATTATGTTACACCTTCCACAACAAAGTTAACTTTGTGGTTCCTGGAGCACATGCTTCTTTCCTTGGTTAATGCTGTTCCTGGACTTTGGAATATTACACTTCACCTTCCAACCTTGCCTGGCCTGTAGGCATTCATCAGTTTGTATCACTTCTTACAAGAAGCTTTCCCTGACTTCCACTACAACCCTGGGTCAACTAGCCCTGATTTTGCTCCTATACTGCCCTCACTGACATTCCAGCGTCCTAAACTTACACTTTAAGACAATTGCTTGTCACTCTTCCCTTCTTCCTCCTCATAGACTGCAATAGCCTGAAAGTGGACCTGTGTCTTGTTTCACTAGCTCTCACCACAGGGAGTATTGAAGCTAAGGAAATGAATGTATTTTATTTCCCTTGAGCTGATGAACATAGTTTATATGGAAATGGAAGATGGAGAGGATGGTTCTAATGACTACCCAAGTGCTCTTTCTTCACCAAGTCTACTGACTGTATTAACTGCTACACAGTCTCTAAAGCTGTGGTGAGAAATAATATTTTCTGAATTCTCTACTACTATTTGGCCTCTATCTTTTAAAAATGACTACTTAGGGGCACCTGGGTGGCTCAGTCGGTTAAGTGTCCAACTTTGGCTCAGGTCATGATCTCACAGTTCATGGGTTCGAGCCCCACATTGGACTCTGTGCTGACAGCTAGCTAAGAGCCTGGAGCCTGTTTTGGAATGTGTGTCCCCTCTCTCTCTGACCCTCCCTTGCTTACGCTGTCTCTTTCTCTCTCACAGAAATAAATAAAAAACATTAAAAAATAAAATAAATAAAAATAAAAACGACTACTTAACACAGTTTTGCCCCAGCAATAGTTTTAAAAATCGGTGTTTTACAGTTTACTTAGGAATACTGCAACGGGTAGTGATTCTTGCTGAGAAGAAAATTCTCTTGTTATTTTTCCCTTTACAAGACTTCCCTTTCTGAAAATCATTATTGTTCTCTGTATTATGTCAATTAAATTCTTCTATATTCTACCAGGTATAGAAACGGAGTCATCCTCCATGAAGTATCAAATATCCAAATTTTTGGTTTTTCATGGATTCCTCCTGGGAGACATAGATCAGTGGTCCATTCACATACAATGATAATGTTCTACTTCAGAGGAAAACTTATATTAACAAAGTATTTCAATAAAGCCATTTGTTCCTTTTAACAAGTGTTCCTCCGTGAAGTAGAGTTGGGTTTTAGCACATATTGCTAATGTAATGGAATGCCTTCATAATAATGACTATAGAGCATTGCACAGACAACCCTCCCTTATACAGTCAGCATTATACTGAGGTTTTTAGATTACACACTGTTGAAGTTCAGAAGAGCAACAATATTATTTGACAGCTAGGTTTAATCACCTAGGTTATAGTAGATTTTAGATCTGGTTCAGAAGACGGAGAAGCTATTTCCAGGCAAAGAAGGCTGATGAAAACCCCCTTGGTTCAGAGTATTGGTATCCATTCACCATCTTCTAGGATCTCTAGAGGTATCTCAAAAACCATGACAAGGCAAGGAGGAATAGGGGGTGGCTCTTGATGTCACTCTCCACTACACTTCACCCATAGTCACTCTCTTTTGATCTGATTTATATTTTGGTAATAAGCACGTTCCTAGAGAGAAGGAATGTGTTGAAATGCCGTCTATAGTCTTTATGGCCTTCACTTGGGTGGGTCCTTCATCTCCTCCCTCTTTCTTTAGCCACTTGCACACAAAATATGTGATTTTCATAAGGCAAATTTTCCTTCTATGTCAATATCCAAATAGTTGGTAATAGTAGCCAAATAACTCTATCACTTGCTGACACGGCCTGAAGCAGCAATGGCAATGTGTCCAACAAATATGAGAATTATTGATGCTGAAATGTTTTCTTGAAAACACCAACTTCATTTTAGTTCCTAATAAATATAGTTCTGTGAACTAGCACATCTCACTGTGCTCATATATCCCTAAAATAACAATTCTTTCCCCTGCATAAATAAGAATCTGATAATTTATTGTGACTGACAGAATTATAATGAAAACATCTTGATTTTGGATATGGCCAAGTACTGAATGTTTGAAATAAAAATGGTTTGGTGCTGGATATTAAGATTTGTACATCCAGATCGATGTGCTAAGCTTTTCCTTTCTGCTATGCGCTCCAGGATGCTCACCTTCATCACTGGAAGGTGATGTATCACTTATGCTTCTCCCTTCCTCTGGTTTCCTGAAGGACTTCTTGGCCAACTGAAGGTCCCACCAGCAGAAGATTACAGGGTGTGATCAAAAAGATATTGGTGTATTGATTATCCTGACTTACTCCTGCCTGGAGCATGGTCTTCCTGGAGCTGCTTTCTTCCTGAGACTATAGCTTCTGTCTGGCATCCCCCTCTTCTGTTTTTGCCCAGTTCTACAACTATTTCTTCCCCTTGTTCCTCTAAGTTTAGGTTTGAGAACAACATCCAGCTTTTGCTACTCCCTGGAAGTTTCATCCTCATCATCTATTTGGTCCTTTGATACTATTTACACTTATGTATATAGTTGGTTTATTAAATTTTCTTCAGATACTGCTTCTATTCTATCAGTTCTATCAGTTTTCTTCTGGGATACCGTTATGAGTTATTCTTGATATTTATAATTCATAAACAATTCAAAAGTATTAACATATAAACTTATGAATGCTCTTTTTTCTAAGAATATTAAAGTTAGCTAGAAACTTAAGTCCTTTCTAATACATATTTCCCTGATTTTTTTTTTAAAGAATGTATTATCCTCCACCAAAATTAAATAAATCATGAATGTGACAGTATCTGAAAATTAATTCAAGTTGAGAGCAGTTACTCACTAGAAATATACTTCCTGGAATAGAAGAGATACACACAAAATCTTTGTTGAAAGACAAGTATATGCATAGATGCCATGTTGGCCATTTTCCTCTTTGCTCTCAGATCCATTTTCTGCCTTTCCCTGTTTTAGTTTGTTCTCACATGGAAGTAGATTACACAGGTTCCATTATAAATTGCTCCTGGTTAAGCTGAGCCAAGAGTCAAAGATAGAAGGAAGGAGGAAACAAGATCTTTCCTTCTTTCCTGGCCATCCTCCTGCGTAGCCATGCCTTCTCCATGGTTCCACTTCCAACACTCAGTTCTCTGCAGACAGTCCTAGTCATGGATGGTGGAGCTTCTGCCTAAGGGCCTAAAGGGTGGTCTCTGAAATATGCTCTATCCCATTTTCCCTCCAGCCTTAGGGTTGTTAGCAATTTTTCGCTGTTTTCCCACTATTCCTGCCTGATTTCTCAGCCTTCCCACCCCCCGTATAACCAAATCCCTAAATTAACTTTCTTTTATTGAAAAACCCTATAGTGGCTTCTTTTTCCTGACTCCATCCTGAATGATACAGATGATTTGGTGGGTAAATGACATAATTCCAAGTCTATGAAAATGACAAAACAGCATAATAGAGCTCTAATCTCAATTCATCCACATTACCTGATTAAATCCAAGGGCTGATGCTTATACCACATTCCCCAGCGTGCCCAGCGCTCATATAATAGATGTCTATTATTCTGAGGTCCATGCGTTTTGATGGGTTGGCTACTCTTGTAGGCTCCCTGAAACATATGAGATAAATTGATATACATTCTCTTAGCATATTTGAACTAAATTGGAATTGCTTTTACTATGTTTTCCTTACAAAACAATTTAACAGCTTATTGAAAGCTTCACTAATTGTAAACTTAAGCACATCACTGGAATGATGTAGTAAATGCCTTTATATTTTTCTCTTTCATTAAAATTATTCTGATAGTTCTTTAAAAATCTTTTCTTAAAGTCCCTTTTTAGACCAATGAGATCCCTTTCATTTAAAGTAAACTAGAATTTAGGTTTTAATGTTTGTAACCTCTGGTCTTTTAATAAACACTACACCTTCACCATCATTGAGAGAAATTGTTGTAGTCTTTACTGCAGAAATTAAGAGTATTACTCTGTTTTAATAAGTGACTCAGTCCTAGAAAATAATGATTTCATTTATGAAGCAAAGGAAGAAAGCAAATGTTCAATCAGAAAGTGTAAGAAGTCTAAGTCACAAGTGCTACTCAAGTTTTTAAATTCTAGAATCCTTAAAGCTTAATTTATATAAGATATTCCAAAACTGGAAACATTTTCACATTCTTTATATCTTCTCTCAAAAACTATTTCATGGGTTGCAATTTCAGACACATAGAATATATATGCCTTATAGAGGATAGTATTTCCTGAAGGCTGAACTGCTTTGTTCTTATAATCAAAAAGGAGGGCTAGAGATATGGTGACTCTTTTTTTCTAAACAAAAACTTAGGACACAGGATTTGACAAATCCCCTCTCATTCCAATGTGTGATTCTACTTTTATAAGCACTTTCATCAAAATTTAAACCAAGTGGAGTTATGCCTTAGTTTCCTCACATAGATGATGAGAATAAGAATAAATATTTATGACTCCACTATAGAAGAGCTTTGTGAGGTCCTGCCTGGATAATCACTATAAAGTGCTATGCAGATATAAAGTACATAATCAATGTTAGTTAGTTTAGGGAGCTTGAAATACTGTGGCCATTGAAGAGTAGAAAACTATCATCTGAGTGAGCCCAGATAAACAAGGGTGTGCGGCCTAAGAAGAGAGAGGACACCTTGAATCATGGTCTGCATACGCCTCAAGGCTGAAATGAGAAACATGTGGAATTCACTTCTGGTCTTCTAATAAAATGGATAAATTGATTAAGTGAAGATGGAAGTACAGGTAAAGTGCTGAGGGGGTTAATGATGGGCCACTTCAGGATGTGCTATTCTGGCATGTAAACTATTTCTTTTTTTTTTTTCTTTTTTAAATTTAATTTTGAGAAAGAGACCATGTTCATGTACAAATGGGCACATGAGTGGGCACACAAACAGGGGAGGGACAGAGAGCAAGGAAGCAAAGGATCCAAAGCAGGATCTGTGCTGACTGCAGAGAGTCTGACTCAGGACTCAGACTCACAAATGTGAGATCATGACCTGAGCTGAGCCAAAGTCCACCGCTTAACCGACAGAGCTACATGCGCCTTCGGATGTAGATTATTTCTAAGCTGAAGATAATTAAGGGCCAATAGACTCAAGAAGTTTTTTTTACCTACCCCTTAACTGCTTAAAATAATTTAGATAGGAAGCTTATGAGAAGAAGAGAGGTATTACCAAAGATAATTGTTTTTACACAAGAAATACTTGTCTACAAGACATGGCAAGCACTGGCTCACCCAACATTTGCTCTCCCATTGTCCTGTGAATTGTCTCCCTTCCTTGTGAAGTCCCAGACACCTGCCCTCTTCTTCTTAGCACAGGATAGGATATAAACCACAATTGCCTGCCTGCTGGAGAGCCTCTCATGTCTTTGTGGGGATCCTATATATGCATAAGTAAAATTTGCTTTTCTCCTATTAACCTGCTTTCTGTCAATTTAATTATTAGACTAGCCCAAGAACCCCAAAGGGAAGAAGAGAAAAGTTTTCCTCTTGTGGTGCAGTCCAAGTTTTCAACCCCAAGAGAAGAAAGCCCAAGGTTTTTAAAGGCTAAAGATTAGAAGCTAAGAAAGTGAAAGTGAAAATCAAGATTTCAAGCATGGGATACTTGGGGAAGATCTGTTTGCCTGTGCAGTTAGAATGACCTGTTAAGGTAGACTGCCTTGAGATTAGGTAAGGGAAGGTGAACCAAAATCTCAGCTTTCAGTCATTCATGATATTCTTTTTAAAATATCTGATTTCCTTCCCAGCCTCAGTGGTCAGATATAGGTACTTCCTGGGTTTTAGGGGCTAAGCTTAGAATCCCTAGTACATCACTGTTCTGATTCTGCTCAAGAACCTCAACCATACTGTTCTGGGTTGACAGTGACACCAGGTGGCTGTAAGAGAAAACTGACCCAATGATGACGCCTGCTGGTCCATGTATTTCCATCTCTTTTCAGAGGACCATGTGCACTCAGTGACCACCTCCCCTAATTCTTCATGATGGTCCCCTCCTCCAACCAACACATAAGAATAAATGGGAAAATGACTATTATTTACAATCTATTCCTAATAGGTTCCAAATTTCACACAAGTCTCAAACTCTTAGAACATCGACTAGTTCAATACATGAAATTACTTACTCAGAGAACAAACCAAACCTTCTTTTGCTATGAAGCTCTCCCAAGGCCTTAGGTTTGCTACACTGAACACTTCATCCCTTACTGACTATGGCAAATCTGACATGGTGTTTAATCTCTCTGAGCCTTGTTTCTGCATCTCTAAAATGAGAAAATAATAATATCTAACCCCCAGGATTACTATCAGATTAACAAGAAAATATGTGCACAGGACCTGTCTCCTGAAACAAGCTATCATATTACCCATTACTATTATTCCTATACTACTGTAAGTAGGCATACCACAATGAATACAAGTACTGGAGCCTAGCTTCCTGGGCTCAGGCCCGTGCCTTTAATACTTAACTTTTCTGTGCCTCAATGATATAGCTAAAAAAAAAAAAAAACCCAGTTATTATTATTGTCTATCTCAAAGGGTTGTTCTATGGATTAAATGAGATAATCCATATATAAAACATTGAGCTTAGTGCCAGATAGGAAGTGCTCAATGCATTTTATCCCTTACGAGTTTCACCAGACAGTGAATTCCTCAGATATAGGGATTACATCCTGTAATTCCTCAGCCTTTGTAAATAGAAGTGATGGGTTTTGAGACTGCAGACATTAAATCTCTAAAGACCCTATTCTTATTGCAAAATGCAAAATCGCCTTAAAAATTGTGTGTGTGTGTGTGTGTGTGTGTGTGCGTGCGCATGCCTGTTGGGAAAGGATGTTCAAAATGGATTGAAATGTCGGTCATGACTCAACAGTAGAATTCACCACAGCTTGGAGCAGGCATTTCTACTTAAAATTGGTAAACAGGTAATAAACTGGCAGAGAATCACATAAATAATGGAGTGTAGGTTTTGGTCATTGGGTTTGCCTTAAATTTTCAAGTATCTTAAAGTAGGTCAGGTATAACCAGACCCTGCCCTGTTTGGGAGTGGTATGGATCACAAGCTGTGTCAAGCATGGAACTCTGTGTTGGAACAGAAGGAGGTCAGAGTGGTTGAACAATGTTCCTGAGTTCTCTCTGGGGCTGAGACTCCTAATATGGGATAAATTGCACAAGGGTCTAGAGCACAGGGGCCAGTGTTCAGCCACAGTTCAAAATGGGGACTCAGAAAGGTCCAGGGCCACTCGCTGATTGAATCCTCCTAAGAGAGGGCAGCCAGACTTTTATTTAAAAAAAAGTCAGCATTTTGAGTATGAGAAACTTTTTTAAAATCAAAATTGTATTTCAAAATTACCTCATGTGGAGGAAAAGCTGCTATATATGAGCCATTGTTGATAAGTTTACAGATACCTGGAAAGAGAAAAAAAGGACAGTTTATGAGTCTGTTCAAAGAAGACTTCCCTCTGGGGCAACATACATATACTTGGACAACAAAATGACTTAACAACTTAAACCAACCCAAATGACATCCATAGCCACATCCCCTCGGAGGGCAGTGGGATTGTTAAAGACTGATTCCAAAGAATCTATTTCTGTCCTGACAACATTCAGCAATGGAGATTTCTAAGGTACTAACTAACATATGGTACTTTGCCACATCATGAAATATGAGGCATTTTAATACCATTTATCTGGGATCACATGAAACTGGAGCAATTTTTTTGTCTCTCTCAAAACAACATTTGGTCAAAAAAGCCAAGGAGGTCTTCACTAAAAAAAAAAAAAAAGTCTCAAAAGGATATTGGTCTTGTGAAATCTTTATACGGAACCAGAGACAAATAGCAATATGTGACACTTCTTGAAATCCCCTCCATCTCAGTGACAGAGCAGTGAAACAGACACTCTCTTACTGTCTTTGTAAGACTCGATATGGGGAAATTTTTGGAGGATTAATTTTTGTTGAAGTATTATTTATATTGGTAAAGAATAAGAAATAAGCATACATCCAAAATTGAGGAATCATTTAATTAGTATGGTACAATTTATATAAGGTATTTAGTAAATAACTGTAATTTACTGAATACCTATAATAGAATATTGTACAACTATTTACAATGTTTATAGACATAATAAAGGACTTGATAAGCTATTCATAAATACTCTTTAAAAAGGACAAAAAATCATAAACACTGCATGATTCTAATAATGATGTTATATATCATTATTATACATATAATGTATATGTATATAATATAACATATTATATATATCATTATCAGAATCATGCAAGTTTATTATATATGTTCAGTATCAGCTTGGGAGAATGACAAATAGTTTCAGGATTTTTAATTTTAATTTTACTTTTATACTCTTCTGTGTATACTGTATGTCCCACAAAGGGCATAATATCTTTACTGTCATTTGAAATATCGTAAAGACTACATAAGCACATAATGCTATCATTTAGACACATTTTTAATTTATATTCTGGATTTCCCTATTTTTATTTCTTATGTGGAAATGAGGTGCTAAATATTTTGTAAGCATTTAGTTTCTAAATGAACTATTTTGACTACTCAGTAATAAATAAATTATTAATCAGGGGAGAACCAACATCCAAACTTTTCTTTTTAAAAACGACTGACTGGAGGGGCACCTGGGTGGCTTAGTCGGTTAAGCGTCCGACTTTCGCTTAGGTCATGATCTCACGGTTCGTGGGTTCGAGCCCCGCGTCGGGCTCTGTGCTGACTGCCAGCTCAGAGCCTGGAGCCTGTTTCAGAGTCTGTATCTCCCTCTCTCTCTGACCCTCCCTTGCTCACGCTCTCTCTCTCCTAGAAATAAATAAAAAATATTAAAAAATAAAATAAAATAAAAACGACTGACTGGAAACATAGTTCATTTTACTTCTGTGGCATTGTATTTTAGTACAATTCAGTAGAGACTGGAACAAGTGTCCAGTGCCTATCAACTTTTCACTTGTAAGAACTTTAGGACATAACTAACATTTGGTCTCTTCCATGTCTTGTAATTTTCACCTTAATAATTAAAAGATGAGCTTATTTGTTACCCACTGTTTTCTGCTCTGCACTATGTAAGCTTTGCAATTTTGTTTAATTTTTCTAGGTAAAATTCTCTCAATTTTCTTTTGTAACACACGTAGTAGTAACATACTGCTATACATTTAAACAACACAGAAATTCAGAAAGTTGAAATTAGCTGTTATTTCACCTTCTAGAGATAATTTCTAAAAAGCTTTATATGAATTCTTCCAGACTTTTATCTTTTTATGAAAGTGTGGTTAGGAAATGGGATTATATTAGACTTACAGTTTGCTGTTTATTTGGGTTTTTTTAGACCTACAGTTTTTACTCTGTTCTTTTTTTCACATGACTATGCATTATAGGTTTCTTTCAAACTCAATAAATGGAGAACTAACCACTAATTTTCAGTTTCCAGAAGTAAGGGGTCTGTGTCATATGCTTTTTGTGATACATATTATAGAAAAGATGTTTGATAAATTTGAGTTAAGAATTAAGAATTGAGTTAATAATAACAATTTTAAATGGATACATTTATAAAAATGAAGCCTAACTTTTTATCAGTTCCTAATGATGGACAGTTGAACTATTTCCAATTTTATTCTACTCTAATCTTTGTTTATTAAACAAAGCCACTATGAATAAACTTCTACATATATTATCCAAAAGTCTGATTATTTCTTTGAGAAAATTTTCAAGAAATGAATTTTCTGTTTCAAAGTGTTAGCACTTCTCACATTTTAATATGATACATATGGCTAAATGCCCTTGAAAAAGTTGTTGTTGTTGTTTTATTGAGTTCTGTTTATTGAAAGGCTGAAGAACAAAATTCTTAGAGTTTATATCCTCATATTTAATGCATGAAGGCAAAGCTTCAGATGTTAAAATAAATATTTTTGGATATAATTAGTAACAGCAAATTCTACCCTCTCTATATTTTTAGTTTGTGTTCTTACCCACTTTTGAGATTCCATTTTCATATTTGGTGTGCTGTAGCATGTGATAGACTATCCTGCTTCGAGTAGCATTACTGAAGAATGTATCCTTATTGTTTATTATGAAGCTGTTAAGATAAGGGGATTTGTTTTAATATTCAAAGCAGTGCACAGAGTCCAGCAACAGTTACAAGTTCCTAGGTCATCATCCGTTTTCCCCATTAAAACTAATGCATGAGAGGTATAGTAGATCAAACCACCCTCTTAAAAAAAAATCAATTGGTAGAGACAAAATACACTTATAAATAATACAGACATTATCAAATATTCATTTAAGTATCTTTCAGTTTATAAAGAAGCCCAGATGTCCTCATATTTCTTGTTTAGCATGAAACAAGGACAGCATTAGATTGTCCATTGGCTCCCATAAATTTTGTACTACCTGAATCAATGTAGTGCCAAATAGAACATATTAAAAATTGATGTCATTTGCCCATACCACACCTTCCAAGCTAACTTGCCTTGTTTTTAGAACTTCAGCAATGAGCTATAATAGTTCTCTCTTCTCCTTCATGCCCTGTACTTTCCCCATGTAGGAAGCTTTGCAAAGAGGAGCCATGTTAGAGCCAAATGAGTAAAGAGCAAAAGGGTGATCCTGACAGTAACGGAAGGGTCTGCTTCTAGCATTTACTTTGTAATATGTTGGCAGCCTCAAAAAAAAAATGGAAGCATCCTGGACCTTACTCAACTTCTACCATTTCCTGTTTCTAGTTGCTTTATGTCTATGACAATAATTTGCCTTTTTTTTTTTTCTGGCACTTAGTATTGAAGTATTAGGTCTTCTATGATTCTTGGTTTCTCATTACCATTCATATTCAAATAGCTGCGAAACTAATCAACTTACTCTCCTTGCCTCTCTCTGGCTTTGAGGTACTAGGTCTCAATGCCTAGATTATGAAAAGAATGTCCTCTTAACTGGCTGTCCAATTTCCAATCTGACCTTTCAAACATGGTTCTGATTCTTAGAGCACTCCTACTCTTCATGTGTCAGCATTATGTGCATAAGTAAATTTTTTTATATTCTTCTCAGGCTTTCTATTTTGTATTTCAGCCTCTCCTTCAATAATTCCCTACAGCTCTGGTTCCTTGCATCTGATAGTCTGTCAAATCGTAGAATTTATCACACCTTAAAACCTCATGTTTCTTTCCCTCACGATTTCGTTGTCTCTGGTATCTTTCTCCCCACCTCTCTCTACCTCCCTCCACATTTTTATCTGTTGAAAAGGACTATCTTCTTCAAAAGGCCTCCTAGGTCCTTTCCTCTGGATGTCACTTCTCCCTCTCTTGTAAAAACATGCATTATATTTGTGTCTTTCTGAACATGTTGATTTTACTCTGTTTTGTTTCATGCTAATCTGTATACTTGTCTCTTTGAGTAGCCTCCAGCATTTTGATATTGTGCTTTTTGTTTTCTACTTAGATATGCACCAAGTTAACATAGCTACTCTGTGCTCTGTTAGTTCTAAGAATCAGAAGCAATGTCCACACAATTCTTTTCCATTAGATTGATTCAGAATTCCCTGAACAGATATTTCTTTAGAGGGTTAAGTTCCTCTTCTTCATGGAGCTACATTATAGAAGGAGAAAACACATGGAATATAAATAAACAATTAAGCAGTCCCTGTCTTCACAGTATTCCTGGTATGGTGGGGCAGACAAAAATGTAAAGTAATAATTAGATAAAATAGGATAAACATAAAGATAGGGGAATGCACAGTGTGGGCTGTTGGAGCTTTGAGAGACAGGATGAAACAGGATTCCAGACCACCAGACATGTTACAGAAGCAATATTTAATGGGAAACTCTCTTCTCTCAAATATTTGATGTAATTCATTTATTTCATCTTGCCTCTCAACATTCATAAAGATAGAGACTGTGTCATATCTCAATTTGTATTATGAATAAACTCAATAACTATTAGTTGAATTAATTTAGGAATAGAGACATGTTGGGATAGTTATACAACAAATCCCTAAAAAATCTCTCATTCAGCTTAGTTTAATACAAGTAGACTCAAGTGGTTAAACTAATAAATACATATTCATTATACATAATTATATATAATTTATTAATTAGAATAATACATGTTCACTCATGTTATTTAATAGCAATTCTATTATTGTTACTTTAACTGGTATTTACCACCCAGTTATAATCCTAATTATATATAATAATATATAATATTATATATTATAATATAATAATCCTAATTATTTTGAAAGAATAGGGAGCTAGACTATCAGCCCATGAATTTACAATTAACTATATTCATTGCCTGAATGTCCCTAAATCAGCTAATCAGGAATTAATAATGCTCACTGAGTGTTGTTCATAAATTAAGCATAAAAACATTTTAATAAAATGATATATTCTCTGCCTTATTCGGCAAACAGTGGAATTGCTCCAAGGTATCTTTATTTTATCAATAACCCCTAGATACTGAAAGGTGGTGGACAAAAAAGAAATGTGAACTTACTGGTGAATCCGTGCACGGCTGAAGGGGCCCGTATAGCAATCTGATTCCTCCAGATGTGGAAAAGCTGACTTGTCAAGAACCATTGGGTTTTGGGACATCCATTTTTTTATCCTTCTAAAATAATTTTGCACACTGGAACAAAGTCACATGAACTAGATTAGGCTGCATTCCAGAGTCATGCCTACCTTCCATCACCATTCCAAAAACAAATAAAAAGAGTTCCAAAAAGACAGTCATACCCACACACATGCATTTCCCTTGTTCCCACATAAAAGACATAAATTTCAAAACAAACCAAATCTTGCATTTGTTTAAATTCAGTGTAACTAGGTTATCCTTATGCAAAACATTTTGTGGAAAATATTAGAGAATCATAGGGCTCTTCTGCAATAGTAAGAGTCAAAGTTGCAGGGAATAATAGTTTCCTAGACAAATACAGTGCATCTTATATCTGTTTTGTAAGCTCTACTTAATCCTTAAAAAATATTAGATGGTGGTAGGAAAGAACATAAACACGATGAAAGTAACATGACACACTTATCAAAGTTGTGAGTGCTCAGATGTATGTATGCATACCTATATATATGTAGCTATAGATTATTCCCTGATTCTTTGAAAAATCTACAGCAATGTAGCCCTACCAAAAAAAGAGAAGGAAGGAAGGAAGGAAGGAAGGAAGGAAGGAAGGAAGGAAGGAAGGAAGGAAAAAGAAAGAAAGAAAGAAAGAAAGAGAGAGAGAGAGAGAGAGAGAGAAAGAAAGAGAAAAAGATTTGTGTGTATTTGATTTTTTGCAAACTTCTGTTCATTTGAAAGGACTATATCCTTGAAAATTGAAATATGTGTCAATTTCTAGTTATTGATTTGTCAGTTTTAGATGGTATTGTTGAGACTCTGTTATTCATTCAATAAAAATTTATTGAGTGCCTACTATATAGCAGGCACTATTTAAAAAAGAAAGAAAGAAAGAAAGAAAGAAAGAAAAAGAAAGAAAGAAAGAAAGAAAGAAAGAAAGAAAGAAAGAAAGAAAGAAAGAGACAGAAATGACTACTACACACTTATTCAGCAGAGCTGTGAACCTCAGCTGTGATGGAAATGCAAGGGTTTTGGAGTCAAGCAAAACAGTTCAAAGGCAGCATGACACCACAGTAGCTGTGTGAACTGACAGATGCTACTTAACTTCTTGCCTCAGTTCCCTCACTCATCAAAAAACATTGAGTTTGCTGGAGATTTGTAAGTTGTTGTCTTTTTTTAAGCTTGATTGTTAACAAGTTGAGGCAGAGCCTTTGCAGTACTTTTAAGACTGATGGGCATATGAATAATCTGAAGATTTGGTAAAAAGCTAATTCAGTAGGCCTAGGGTGGGGCTTAAGATCCTGCATTTCTAACTAGCTCCCAGGGTATATCCATGCTGTTATCCACTGGCTGCACTTAGAGTAATGGGTTTAGCACAGACACCAGACACATGACATTAAGATACTGTTTTCAGGGAATTTTACATCAGAATACTTTGGTTTTGGCTTTAGATTACAGTTATAGCCCAGTTCTTATGTATGTATATTGATTGGGATCATATTTACTTTGCAAAGGAAAAAAAAGCAAAAGAAAGAGATATTGACTCTAGAGATTGATTCTGAAAACCTAATTCTGAGTGACTATAGTAATTATGTTAACTTAAAAATAGCACAATATTTCCACACTACTTATGAGATTCTAACTGTCAATTTGGGGGCTCTTCTGCAATAGTAAGAGTCAGAGTTGCAGGGGAGAATAGTTTCCTAGTAAATATAATACGTCTTAATATCTGTCTTGTCATCTCTACTTAAACTTTTAAAAAATGTAGTATAGCAATTTGCAGGCAGGTAATACAGTATATCTTAGGAATTATTTCATTCAAATCTATTATGGTAAAATTAGTATGAAATATTTGAAAGGGCAATCAATTCCTGACCTAAAGTTTAACATGTGGAGGATAGTCTGGACCATTCTTTTGCCAAGTAGTTTATGATACAGATGCCAAGTCATTTTTGGTTTTGGAGGGACCAAAGAATTTCTTTCTAACCTAAAATAATACATGAACAGTATCTAGGTGTTCACATTGCTTCTTCTCATGATAACAAAAGCTTCTGAAATCACAGGGTATCTCTGTATTTCAGTGGCTAGTGCACAGACATTTATAAATCACTGCATGGATTATACAGCAATCACTCCAGTTTTTCAAACTCAGCACAGTGAGGGGAACGATAGGGTAGCAGGTGGAGGATGAGGGTCCCCAGACTGAATTTGTCAGCTATTGACATTGGCGAATTGAACCTTGGAGTTTCAGGTTCTTCATCTCTCAAGAGAGGAAACAACTCTATCTGTCCTACTTTATTAGGTAGCTGGAAGGATCAAGTAAAAGGATACATTCTGACTGCACTTAGGAAATGTCCATGAACTACAGCTCCTGAGGGCCTACTTCTGATAACATACAAACATCTTAGAAGAGTAGGTGCATTTTATTTAAAAAAATACAAATGCTTTCACTCCATCACTGATTTTCTATAGAACTAAACATTATAATTAAGACTTCATATACACTTCCTATGAGGAAGCAAATGATTCTGATCATGACATGTGGTCAGGCCTGGATTTGAATCATGGGGTGCAAAAATTTGGATTATTACTCAATTCCCTTGATTCTCATTCAATTTTCTGATATCTCAAAAGACGGATATTTTGAGAATTAAATACGTAACACCTGAATCCACCCAGTAAACACTCAATAATTTTTATGACAATAATAAGGAAAAAGAGTATTACTACTCTATTAGTACCAGTCTCGCCAACACATCACCAACACAATTTAATGCTTTATCTACACTCTACTGAATCTGTGTTGTCACTTTGGCCATCTTACAGACTCAAGACTTCATGGATGGCATATTGGGGAGATGATTCTCAATGGAACTTTAAGTTCCTTTGCTAAAATCAACGGAAAGCAGAGAAGTCTATGGAAATTGATAAGATATCTGGTTAAAGAGCCAAAAGAACCTGGTCAGAGCAAAAGCTCTACCCAAACAGCTGTGAAAGCCAGGGGACGAGGCACGGCACAGGGTGGTGCAGAGTGGTGAATGGTCATTTATTTTCCCTGTTCTGCAAAACCAGTTACTCTTTGTTCTGCCTCCCTGAAGGGTGATTTTGAAGATGCTTTGATAACTGAATGCGAAAGTGCTTTGTAAACAAATGATAAATAGCAGCAATAATAAAACTACAGCCATTTCCTTTCAAACTGCCAGGAGAAATGATGATCTTGAAAAGCTAGATAATTGCCTGTACATTATTAATCACCTAATGTTTACTGGTCAAAATACTTATGCAGAAAACATCTTTCCCACTTCAAGAAAGAAAAAGCACAAGTGAAATCTAAGTGCACATAATTGATTTTCATTTCTCTCTTTCCAGTTGTCTGCAAATTAGGTATTAAAATTTTGTATCGATGGTTGTCACCCACACACAGACGAAAGTGAGAAAAAATTTAAATTTCTTCTCCAAAGTTAAAGTCTAAAAAAATCAAAATTTCCTTTCCTTAATTGAAAGTCTAAAGTCAAACAAATAACAGACATTGTCTTTCTCAGTTTAATATGTCATATACTTTTATAAATGTCTGTCCTATTTATTTGTTACCCTTCCCAGATGTATCCAAAATGTCAGTAACTACTACTATTTGTAGTATGTAAATTGCAAATACTAGTAGTAGATACTTACTGCTACTATTTGTAATAAGTAAATTGTATGAAGTAATGTTTAAAGTAATTTAATAATTACTTGGAATAATATAACTGAATTTTCATTTCATGAAATTAAACAGAAAATAATAATAAATACAAAAGATAATAAAACATTCTGATACACACTATGGTGTTTTATTTTTTCTAGTTTACTTTTAAGTTTGACCAAAACAGAAAAAAACACACCTTTGCCACTATAAAATATGTCTTCTTTAGAGACTAATACACACGTTTACCACACATTCCAAAAGCAAGTGCATGCTAAAACTAAATTATATAATATTATGTAGAAATTTATTGGTATTTTAATATACAGGATGTTATTCTTCTGCAAGTCTCTGAAAGAAAGATGTTTATCAGAAAACCTACTAATTACACAGCAGCAAAATCTCACTAATTCTATAGAGCACACTGAACTTAACCCAACAATGTGTTATCAGCACATCCAACATGATGAAGGCTCATGTAGAGAAAGCAAAACAAAACAAAACAAAACAAAACCCTCTTTAGTTGTAAATTTATATTGTTATGATAGTCCAATGACTTCTACTTTATTATATAAAATAATTTTGAAAATGTACTACACAGATGAGGACCAAATTTGCCCATGGGAAATGATAGAAGCTCACTCTCTAAATCTGACCATGTTACCCTGACAAACAGAAAAGTCTGACCTGGCTGAGGAGCACCATTAGGAATTTTATTATTTTAAAGAGACTTTTAAGTACCAGTTGCTTTAATAATCATTCTGATTTCAAATTTTGCCCCTATGATTTACTTTTCTTGTCACCTGTTCCTACCACATCTAGATTTAATGCCTCAGAGAGTCCAACATTCTTCTATCCTAAAATTAACATTTTTCCTATTCTAAAGTCCCAAATTATATTCAGCCACTTTCTCCGGTAAAGGAACTACATTTACAGAATCCTTTCCTAAAACATCCTGATATATTCATACTATATGATTCTAGTTTTGTGTCATTCTGACTTGTAATATCCTACAGCATTATTCAATAGAGTATATTCTGTCACATTCACATTCCGCTTTCGTTAACGGATTCTTTTGCAAGGAGCAGAACAGAAGAGTGTAAGAAGCTTTTGTTTCTAGCATCCATTAAATGGAAGCTCACTTTCCTTACTGAAACAGGGCAAAGGTGATCCGGGTGGGGAGAGCTTCTCCTGTCTCAAGGTTGTGGTTTGATTAATTCCTTTGTCATAGCTACCGTTAACACAATATTTAAAGAGAAGTTTTGAGATGATGCTCTTGGAAAAAGAGTTCGTTTTGAATACTAGAATATGAGAGGCAGCTCAGTTGGTGAAATAAGAGTAGATCAGTGATTCAAAAATGTGCTGTGTGACCTTGATAAACCACTTCAGCACTCTGGATGCTGGTCTTCCCTTGTCCGCCTTTGTCAAATAAGAGACTTAAACTGAATGGGCCAGAGGGTTCTTTGCCATGTCTGTTCTTCCATTACTCTAGTGGGTCATCATTTACCCCTCAATCCAGGTTTTATGACTATTTTTTACATTAAAATCTCCTAAGAAGCAAACTTGCAATTAAAATCCTCCTGCCACAACATTACATCAAGAGAGGATTGCAGAAATGGCAATGGTAAATAGAAAAAAAAATAGATTATCTGATTGTAAACATTGCTAAATTTCATGTATGTCATTTTGGAAATCTTAGAACAAATCAGTAAAGTTTTTCTCTCTAAAATTTACAACTGCTGGTGTGGGTAATTGAATGTCTTCTTTTTATTTCTTTTTCCCAAATGACAGATTGGTTATAAACAAATTACACATCAACACTGACCTGCCCATTGATTTGCTGCTCCGGTCAGTGTAGTAGCATTTTTTCCTGAAAAATAATGGAAACAGCTAAAGAGAGTCACGTGAAAAGAGAGAAACCAGCGAGTGACTACATTCAATCACATTGAGTATTTTAACACTACAATTTCCACATGCCTATGAAATACATAAAATAAGCTAATATAATAGTAAGAACTCTGAATATGCATTTTTAAAATTTCAGAATCTAAGTTACTAGTAACAAAAAAACTTTGATAAATCAATACATCACTTTAGAATATTTTTAATTTCATATTTTGAGCCTGTATTCTGCTACACAAAGCATATTAACTGGATCATTGGCTTATATGTTATATGAAGCCTTCCATGCATCCATCCATGCATCCATGCATCCATCCATGCATCCATCCATCTAAACATATATGTAATGAATGCTTATTGTTTTGCAAGGTATGTTAAAGTATAACCATTAACAATTTAGAGAAAAAATGAGGTTATCTATCCTTAAAGAGCTTCCTTTATAGTTGCAAAGACAAATGATGGCTATAATAAAGTGTGATAAGTCAGGAAAACACAGGGCTATGGGTGTACATTGAAAGGGATCTCAGTATTTGTAGATGAAGGAGAAAGGAATCAGGCAAACCTTCTTATATCATATGCTTTCCATGTTGAATCTTGATACATGAGTAAGAGTCGTCCTCTTAATAAAATACTTAGGACATGGTATTCTTGACATGATTATGTGAACAAACACCAAGTATTGTAAGATTTGGGAAACTGCAAGTACTTTAGTAATCTCTGGAGTATAAATTGTAAGTTGAGCAGAGTGGTAAAAGGGACGATGAACAAGGCACAGATAATGAGTGGTCCTACCACTGATTCTAAGGTTTCTGGATGACATACAAAGGGAAAACATGGAATATTTTAAGTAGATGTGTACCATGTCTGATTTTAAAGAAGCTAAAAGTTCTGGTGACAGGGGTTAATTCGTCTCTTAAACGATTCTTACCACATCCTCATTTTGGAGCTCAGGAATCTCATAGTCTGGGCCTTCTAAGATAACTCTTTATCCCCACCCACCAAAACTCATTTCAGAGGATCAGTAAATTCCTCCCTGTGTGGTATCTAGAAAGCAGGGTTGAGTCAGGAATCAATATATGGTCCTAACTGTGTTATTAACTGCTTAGAAAAGTTGAAAATCTTCTGAACTATTGTATTTCATTGTAAACACTGGTTATATTGCTAGAAACGAATTTTTTTCAGTTGTCCTTGCCATACCTCAATATTAAATTCAAGTGTGGGATTTCAAGGTTTGCTACATCTATCCTAAACTCATTTAATTATCTCTCCCTTTCATTTTTTCAAATATACATAAATTTGTGTGCACACACAATTTGATCCTCATTGGAATATAAACCCATCTTCTTTCTGAACTTCCTCTACACAGATTAGCTTGCATTATTTAGACATCATTACATAACTGATCACTGACTATCTTCTACAGGAGATTGGGCTTCTTGAAGATAGTAGTTTTATTTCATTTCACTTTGTATTCCTGGTGTATACTTGGTACATCGTTTGATAAACAGTAAGTGTTCCAATGGCTGATAAGCCTTTGTTTAATTCACAGTTGCATTTATTTCCTTCAAGGCCTGAGACCACTTTGCATTTAATAAACATTTGCTAAATGAGGTATTATATATTTTTAAAGCTACAAATGTAGAAATTAGTTTAAAATAATTTTCAGCACAAAAAAATCTAGGACTGTTATGTAGAGGAGATAAAAGTTATAATTATTGACCATAGATATGGTGAAGTATATTAGCAAAGAAAGGGAGGGGCATTTGGATTAAACACTATTCTGTATTTTTCTTTATTGCTCTAGTTAAAATTTTTTCATAAACATTTTTAAACTGTTTTGTGAACAATAAGGAAAAATGAAGGAAAGAAGTCATAAAAGATGAATATACATACTTTTTTAGACCTTTAATATTATAAAAGCAAATAAAAATTGAGACTCACTTTTCCCAAATAACTAACACTCTAATTACCAGTCAAATTTAGGGTAAACTATGTGGGACAATTATTGCTGTTGAGTCCTCTTACTTGAGGACTGGATATTGTTTATCTGTTTGGCTATATTAAAAGATGGAATTTCCGGGGCGCCTGGGTGGCTTAGTCGGTTAAGCGTCCGACTTTCGCTTGGGTCATGATCTCGCGGTTTGTGGGTTCGCGCCCCGCGTGGGGCTCTGTGCTGACTGCCAGCTCAGAGCCTGGAGCCTGTTTCAGTCTGTGACTCCCTCTCTCTCTGACCCTCCCCTGCTCACGCTGTCTCTCTCTCTCTCCTAGAAATAAATAAAACATTTAAAAAAATAAATAAATAAAAGATGGGATTTCCTTCTGTCTTTACAATCTGTTGGCGAATTGCTGGTGACACACACCACATTCTGACTTAATGCATATTCATTAATACAAGTGTTTTCTTTCTCTTCTACCTTTGTAAACTTTTCTGGGTTGGTGACACTTTGGTTTTCCCCCAACAATACACAAGTGTATTTTAAATCCTTGAAGCCCATAATAACTTGCAATTTTCCTTAATTCTTGTTCATAAATGAACCTGCAGGACCATATCATTTTCTATCCATAATCCTCCACCTTGTGCTTTATTAATTACATATTGTTCATAGACAGAGCTTTCTTTATTTTTCCCTGAATTTTTCATTTGAAAGATTCTACCATTTTATATCTTGCATCAGGACAACATCTATCTATGTATCTACCCACCCACCTATTCACAACTGCCACTCAAAACTCTAAGTAAACTGTTATGTGAAACACCAGCCAAGTGGTTACGTGTGGAGATGCCTAGAGGGCTGAGGGAAATGGGCAGTCACATGAGTCGAACCCTACGTCCCCCGCTCCTTGTCAAACAGAATTGCTTCACTCTTTAATTTTTTTAAGTTTATTTATTTTTGAGAGAGAGAGAAACAGTGTGGAGCGGGGGAGCGGGAGAGAGAGAGAGGGAGGCACAGAATCCGAAGCAGGCTCCAAGCAGTCAGCACAAAGCCTGACGCAGGGCTTGAACTCAGAAACTGTGAGATGATAACCTGAGCTGAAGTCAGACACTTAACTGACTGAGCCACCCAGGCGCCCCAGAACTACTTCACTATTAACTATTTCATATATTGGGCTGTCTGAATGTTCCTATGCTATTTTATTTTTGAGTGAAGGGTCCTTTACAAATGAAAGTGATCTAAGTTTAATCCCAATTATGATAAAAAGATTATTCTTAATGTTTTAAAAATATCTCCCCTCCTCAAATCTATGTGTTTAAAATATTCGTGGGAGAAGCTTAAGAATCCCATCAAGGAACTCAAACAGAGAGGTAGGGGATGGCTGATTCGTCTTACAATATGTTTGCCTCTTTTAATAGGAAAGTTATGAATGAATAGGAATCATCTCTGAAACACAAGAAAAATAATGAAAGCAGAATTTAATATTTCTGGAAAGTGGCAAACACAGACTAAGTCCTTGCTGATGGGATAAAAATAAGAAAATGTAAACTATTTTAATCCTCTGAATTTTTCTTGGGTAGTTTCAAGACACCAAGTCTAATATGTAGGCCATATTTACTTTGGAATAGTAATCAAAACAAGAAATAGCTAGAAAATTTAGGTATATAGAATTCTACACATGTATTTAGGCAGAGAATTTAGAATAAATGCTCAAAATTCATGTTCATGCAATACACAGAAAACTTTCAGAGGCAGGGTTATAACTAATAATTTATTCTGAATAAATTTGCAATTTTTCTTTGAGAAATAGAATATGTAGTTTTCAACACTGAATAAATATGCAGGACAGACAAGTACGGGTAAATTTTTTTATGCATAAACCTTTTAAAAATTCTCACCCTAAAAAGAGATAGGAGTTTTTCCTATTCAAGTTTTTTGTATTTCTTGCATATTTTGATTTTAAGTCAGTATATATGTTCTTAAATGTGGTTATAGTTGACAAGTAGAAACTGAATTGCCATTATAAAAACACTCTGCCACTTCACTTATGCTTGTATAGCATTCTCTCTTTATGAGGTGATGGCTATGCCAAGTTTCATGTGTACCTTATAAATAAATGAGAAGTTAGTTACTAAGTTGTTAATGTTACATCCATTATTTAAACTGATCTGGAAAGTGGTCCCAGAAAACTTTGTGTTCTAGGATTTGTCAAACTGTTTTCCCAAGAACACCATTATATTAAGATTAAAAATAAATCCCATCATCAAATGGAAGGGATGCTTTGTATAACTAATTCTTAAAAATGGTAAGATTTATTAAAATATTAAAATTGTCAAGACAATATTTCTTTACCATCTGCATCAGAATCATGTGGGATGCTTGTTAAAAATGTATATACCTTCTGTTCCAGAATTAATATTCCATGATCTCATAGGATGGGGGGGTGCCTGGAAGCTTCATTTTTACAAAGTTTCCCAGGTGATTAAATGTACTTTAAAGGCAGAATGAGAACCTACAATAAATAAACTTACTGTTTAACTCAGAAATTCAGAAACATATTTGCTTACAGGAAATTTTTCTCTTAAAAACCTGTGAAGCTAGTATTCCTTTGATACATTTTGGAAAGTGTCGCATATTTTCTAATATTTATGTTATTAAATCATGAGGGTATCAATGCAATTTTCCAACAGTTTTAAGAATGCAGCCATTTAAAACATTATTTTATTGAGGTGCCTGGGTGGCTCAGTCAGTAAAACGTCCGACTTCGGCTCAGGTCATGATCTCGCCGGTTCACAGTTCAAGCCCTGCTTCAGGCTCTGTGCTGACTGCCAGCTCAGAGCCTGGAACCTGTTTCAGATTCTGTGTCTTCCTCTCTCTCTGACCCTCCCCTGCTCACGCTGTCTCTCTCTCTCTCTCTCTCTCTCTCAGAAATAAATAAAACATTAAAAAAATAAAAATAAATAAAATAAAACATTATTTTATTGAATTGTTTTTTTTAATGTTTTATTTATTTTGAGAGAGTGAGAGAGACTGAGAGCATGAGAGGGCGGGGCAGAGAGGGAGGGAAAGAGAGAAACCCAAGCAGGCTCCACAGTGCCAGCACAGAGCCCGAAGTGGGTCTCGATCTCTCAAACCATGAAATCATGACTTCAGCTGAAATCAAGAGTCAGACGCTTCACCGACTGAACCACTCAGGCACCCCATGTGAACATGATTTTAAAGCACATGTTATAAAGAAGAAATTTCAGCCACAGCATCAAAGAGAAGAAATAGTAATGGCATACATTTCAGGGTTTTCATATCTCTTTCTTTGGATCTATCAGAACTCTTTGAAATGCAATTTTACCAGGAAATTTTTAAAAAATATATCATTTTAAAAAGATAAAAAAAACCCATCTATCTGAACAGAATATTTTCTTTAAAAGTCACCTTGAGTCAGGACACCATGGCACAGAGCCTGGAGACCTAAGCTGTACTTCATACTGACCAAGGGCACTCACAATCTGGCAAGGGAACTGTTTTTTTAATGAACTTCTAAGAAAAAGAAACAAAGGAATCGAATTCAGTACAGGGTTTTTTTAAATTAAAGTTATGAGAAAATGATATCACTGAATTTCTCAAAATTTATCTGAAAAGGTAAGAATGAGGGAAATGACGAAAAGGAAGCCAATGTACTCCAAACAGACTTCCAATTTAAAAAAAAAACAACAGTAAAATTCAACTTGATGGTTAAAAGAGTTATATGAAAATTATGGCACTGTAAACTGTGTTGCCAGTGTCTTTAGAAGATTTTTCCCCATAGATTCAGCAGAATGAACATATTTTGAAAACGAACTAATAAAAAAAAAAATCACTGGATTTCCATTGTCAAATATTCAGAGAAAAGCAAACATGTTAACTGAGATTGTATTCATAACTTGTTCTTTAAGTGAATGAAAGTATAACTGCATGTGTAAGAATAAGGTGCCTTTGCCAGGATCTAGGTCAAATTGTGTCCAATCCCTTCTTGTGTAACACAAAAGGAACAAATCCTCTGGACTCTTGGAAGATACTTGTTTTTGCATCAAGTCCAGAGGAGGTCCCAGGGAAGATTTGCCCCTTTTTTGATGAGATGTTTTGTTTTCCTAAAGATTTTATTTTTTTAAGTCATCGCTATACCGACATGGGGCTTGAATTTACAATCCCAAGATCAACAGTCACCGTTCTACTGACTGAGCCAGCCAGACATCACACTTGGTGAGATGTTTACACACAATGTTCACTGATTTTGAACTGAACCCGAATGCTGAAACCCATGGAAACAGGACACTTTGCGATAGACTTGAAAGGAATCCTCCTTTTAGATCTACAAGGAAATTAGTTTGTACGTGAATTTAATCACAACTCTTTTTTGAAACAATGGTGGGATCACAGGACTAGGGGAAGATAAAGGCACCTGACTAGTTAAGATTACTCTGTAAATTTTTTAGCGATGTCATCATGATATCAGGAACTAGGTCATCATCTTAAGTGTCGTTCTTTTTTTTAAATTTTTTTTATTGTTTCTTTATGTTTGAGAGACAGAGCCTGAATGGAGGAGGAGCAGAGGGGCACAGAGGGAGAAGGACAGAGGATCCAAAACAGGCTCTGCTCTGACAGCAGCAAGCCCAATGTGGGGCTTGAACTCATGAACTGTGAGATCATGAACTGAGACGAAGTTGGACACTAAACTGGCTGAGCCACCCAGGTGCCCCTGAGTGTCCGACTTCTTTTGCATCCTGTGTTTATGTCATGCAATCAAGTTAGAATTTGTTAAAAATGGATAATTTTGTAACACTATAATGAAATAAAATAAAATACAATCTCCCATCAGGAGTGATCATTTTTAGCATATTACAGTTTCTTCCTATTTTATTTCTATGCATTTTACATTGTTGAAATTACATTGTCTAAGTATTTACATATCATTATATATAATATAAATTTTATTATTTACTATTTCCTTATAATCATTAAGAAATCCTATACCCATTCATTTTATAAATGAATTATATTCTAGTCCAAGAGTATACTGAAATACTCTAATGAAATTTAATGAAATCCTCTAGTGTTGAATACATAAGATGTTTCCATTTTCCACAATTGTAAATGATATTTCAGGGAATATCTTTACACACTTTTCAATTATCTTTTTAAGATAAGAAGTGGAAGGTATAAAGTTTCAAAGCTCACAGAAAATATTTTCAAGATGAGTTTCAGAATATTTTATGAAGTTTGACTCCCATCATAAATAAACAAAGGTGATCAATTACCATATCTGTGCAATGTTTGAACACAACTATTTGAAAAACCCTCCACTAATTATGAAATTATTTAACCTGTGAAGGTTAAAATTTATCAGATTGTTTTAATTCTGCATGATAGTATGTTGTATGAATATGTACAAACCAAATAAGAAGAAATCAAACAGAGCCATGGCAAATATTCTCCCACTATCACCTTTAATAAATCCCAGGCAAGTATTTTAAGACTTCTTAGAGGATGACATAGTGTCAAAGGGGAAAATTCCTCAGAAGTAAACACATGTAGAATAGTATGAGTATATACTTGCCAAACTGTACTCTCAAAATTAGTTCAGTAAAATGACTTGAATTGAAAACAGTCCTTTGTAGACCTCAAATTATCTAATCATAATAAATATCTCATAGACCCTTATTTGCTTCTTCTAGGAACCAAGCTTCATAGAAATGTACAGACTACAGGTTTTCTCAGGTACCTTGTCTGTATAAAGTGCTGAAGAATTAGAAAGAATTTCCTTTATCATCTTTTGCTTTTTATTGTTATTATTACTATTCCTTGCCAAGCTTTTTGAGATATTATTTGCTTTTCTCCTAAATATCATATTTAAAGAGAACTTTTAAACTCTTAGCCAAGTTTGGGGTACCTGAGTGGCTCAGTTGGTTAAGTGTTTGACTTCGGCTCAGGTCATGATCTCACAGTTCGTGGGTTCAAGCCCCGCATCAGGCTCTGTGCTGACAGCTAGCTCAGAGCCTGGAACCTGTTTCAGATTCTGTGTCTCCCTCTCTCTCTGACCCTCCCCTGTTCATACTGTCTCTCTCTCTGAAATAAATTAAAAAAAAAAACATTAAACTCTTAGTGAAGTTTGAATATGAACCAATTTAGATATCCAATTCTAAAACTGTCAGTAAGATTCTTCAGTAGTTGTGAATGCTTAATCAATTTCTGTTTTTATGGACAATGACTGTGTTTGCATCTTTCAAAGCCTAAGGTGTTTCAAATGACTAAGAAGATAGGATCACATGGGCATGTGGGTGGCTCAGTCAGTAAGCTTTTGGCTCAGGTTCATGGGTTCGAGTCCCACATTGGGCTCTGCGCTGACAGCTCAGAGCCTGGAGCCTGCCTCAGATTCTGTGTCTCCCTCCCTCTCTGAACCTCCCCTGCTCACACTCTGTGTCTCATTCTCTCAAAAATAAATAAACATTAAAAAGAAGTTTTAAAAAGAAAGAATCACTATCTCATATTTTATCTTGAATAACATAGCTTTTCATAAGACTTGAGAATGTCAGAACTCTTACCAGACTTGATGTTTTCCATGCTACCAGGTCTGAGACATTTCTCTATAGTTTTGCACTGTGCTCTTACTGTTCATTCATATTCATTATTTAGAGGCTCTTTTACTTGATATCTTGCTACTCTTCTAAACCCTCTTATCAGATAATGAAGCACATTGAGTTCCAAATCAGCATAAATGTTTATATCTTTGCACAAATAGGAACACTATTGATTTTTAATTTGAAATTATGGAGGAAATGATACATTCTGCATATAACACAGGATACACAATATAAGGAAACTCATGTCTATTCAATCCTTGTGTCTAAAGGAAGATGGAAAAATCTTTGGATGAAGTAGGCTTCTCATCTCCATTTGTCCTTTGGTACTGAGGACAGAGCTGAGAAACCATCTGGTTGAATTGCAAGTGAGGAATGATTCTTGGTAACTGTAAAGCCTTGAAAAACACTGTATTTGTTTACAAATGGATGCTACACCCCTATGTTTCCTGCCTTCCACAAAAACAGAATTTTATCAACCATGTGAAATAAGAAGTGAGATTAATCTTCAGAATAACTTTTTCCCTCCCTCTAGGCAAGTCCACCTAGAAATGATATGAAGCATCAAGGGACCACAAGATTTACCACATTTGGCAAATATATTAAAAGAAAAAAATTTTTCCAGGATATTCTAAAATTTGGAAGAAAAAGCATTTCCTCTGTGGAAAGAGTTACATCTCTTGCTCTAAAGTTTTGCAGAAAACAGACTCATCTTAATATATATTGCGACAGAATGAAGACAATTTGAAAGTACCTGAAGGGCATCCTGATATTTAGCCTCTCTGCATACTTGCACAGCGTGTCCCAAGGAATATGAATTTTAATAAACATGATATCAGGGTTTGCCACAGCTGGCTGCAAAGGACAGAAAGACAGGCACCATTATTTAGAATCGGAGCTGATGATACCATGCCATAATTTGATTTGAAAGGAAGAAACACTGTCACCTTGTCTCCACATAATATCATCACTGATTTAAAGGAAATTTATGTGAATAAAAATTCTCAATACAGCAACACCTTCATAAAAATGTACTAATGCCATTGCATGCATACAATAATCACCTATGTGAGTTAGTGCATTTTCTTATATTGATTGTTATCAAGATCCAGAATACCTAATCAGAGAAATCATGAGCCAATCAGGAATCTGAAAGTAATCTCATTGGATGCTTTATCATGATCCTGCTCAGAGAGAATAAAGAACATGGACATTTGCCACCAGTCATTCCTTAATTCATTGACTTATTCTTCTAGCATATTTTATTGAGTTGCTATTACTTGCAAGCTCCTATGAAAATCTTGGGGAAAATGGAATATAAATCATGCAAGTCCATGACCTTAGAGAACTGTCAAATTTGTATACTTACTTTAACCTTTTAGTCCACAAAAACTTAAGAGTCTTTGATTCTGACAAAAGATTTTTTAATGATTTTTAATGCTTATTTATTTATTTTGAGAGAGAAAGAGAGAGAGAGGAGAGAGAGGCAGAGAGAGAGAGAGAGAGAGAAATGGGTAGAGAGAGAGGAGAGAGTAAGAGAATCCCAAACAGCCTCCACATTATCAGTGCAGAATCTGACACGGGGCTCGAAATTGCAAACTGTGAGATCATGACCTGAGCCGAAATCAAGAGTCAGATGCTCAGTCAACAAAGCCACCCAGGGGCCTCCAGACAAGTTTTTGTTTTTTTTTTTTTAAATGTTCATTTATGTTTGAGAGACAGAGTATGAATGGGGAAGAGGCAGAGAGAGAGGGAGACACAGAATCTGAAGCAGGCTCCAGGTTCTGAACTGTCAGCACAGAGACCAATGAGGGTCTTGAACTTATGAACTGTGAGATCATGACCTGAGCTGAAACCAAGAGTCCTATGCTTAACTGACTGAACCAACCAGGTGCCCGTGGTTAACATTGTTTATTTAAATTTCATATAGATGAGGCACCGGAGCAGCTCAGTTGGCTGAGCATCGGACTTCACTCAGGTCATGATCTCACGGATCGTGAGTTCAAGTCCCACATCAGGCTCTGTGCTGACAGCTTGGAGCCTGGGGCCTGTTTTGGATTCTGTGTCTCCCTCTCTCTCTGCCCCTCCCCTGCTCACTCTCTGACTCTCAAAAATAAAAAAATAGATTAAAAAATATTTTTATTAAATAAAAATAAAGTTCACCCAGATGGAATTTCTCAAGACACAGAACAATCTTAAAATCTCAAAAGCATAGAAGGAATTTATCAGTTTAATTTAAAATCATATATATTTTATAATTAGGCTGTAGAGTTTCATATCCATACATTCATAAAGCACTGTTTTAGATGTGGCTAATTTCACAAGTTCACCCAAGCAATATTTCAAATTTGTATTACTTATCATGATACAAATAATATAAAAGTATTATTAGAGAGCCATGGGATAATCATCAGACTAATACTCAAATATAGAGGGCATCATTGCCATTGGGCAGACACTTTCACAGACTATCATTTGCTAAAGTTTATTCCATGGAGTACTATAAAAAAAGAGGCAGGGTATTTCACAGTCATGAAAATTTTGAGTTTCTCCCTGGAGGACTTGTGAGATACTTTAATATGCATATACTTACTAAAAATATCCAAGATGGTGAAAAAGTAAATTTTCAAAATTCTGGACCATGGATTAGTTTTTTCCTGATAGCTTATTGGAGCATTTCTATTTTGCAAATCATCATGGGAAAAACAGCAAAAGATGCTTGCAAATAAGTACAATTTCCAAAGGGTTTTCCTACTTCAGATATGTTTTAAATTACATGTAAAGAATGATAGGAATAAAATTGACAAGGACAGAGGAGACATAGTATGTATTAAATATCAACAGGCCTTTGAATTCAGACCAAGGTCATACACGTTAGCTATGCTTGAGAAAATAACATGTAGAAATTTTTTTAAATGAGCATTAATTTGGGGCACTTGGGTGGCTCAGTCAGTTAAGCATTCAACTTCGGCTCAGTCATGATCTCACGGTTCTTGAGTTCGAGCCCTGCATAGAGCTCTGTGCTGACAGCTCTGAACCTGCAGCCTGCTTCAGATTCTGTGTCTCCCTCTCTCTCTGTCCCTCCCCTGCTTGTGCTCTGTCTCTCTCTCAAAAATAAATAAACTTAATTTTTTTAAGAAAATGAGCATTAATTTATTCAAACAACTATTTGTTTAAAATATGTATTTTTTAGCCAGCTAGAAAGGAAAAAAAGAGAACAATTATGATGTTATCTCTGGGTTCTTTTTTGTGACTATTCCAGACTTGGTTGAAAGGTTTCTGTGCAGCAGTGATAGAATCAAGAAAATCTAAAATAGAAAAAGCACAGGCATTTAAATGACTCCTTCACTGAGGCAAGTGAAAGAAGAATTTCATGTTTTATTATAGTCTTTCCTGCTTAAGCTGTACAAAAGTTCTTATATTCAAACGATCCTTCCTTTAAAATTATGGTGTTGGCCACTGGTGTTATATCAACTTGCCTTTTACTTACCAAGTACAAGTTATATTTCTTTAACCCTAATTGCTTACTTAGAAGAAATTACATGGTATGGTAGACAGAACATAGTGTTTGAAATCACAAAGACTTAAGTACAAATTCCATCTTTACCATTTACTTAACTCTGTGAGCGTGAGGAAATTACCTAACCTCTGTGATCCTGTTTACTCTCCTGAGAAATGGAGACGATGGTCTTAACTCACAGAGCTGGTGTGAGTACTATGAAAGACAAGACGTATAGAGTACCCAAGTATAACAGGTTATCCAGAACTGTTCGTTTTCTGTTGAGGTCATGCTTCTTACACCAGACCCCAGCCAAACTAATAGCTAATTTCAAAACTTCACTAGAATCTTTCTCTAGCACTCTCTTTTTCTTTTTTCTTCATAAATCACTACCAGATTTATCTTTAACCTTTGGTTTTCTAAGCCTTCAGTAACAAGACTTTGAATTATATAAGTATGAAAGCAATAACATATAATTTGGGAACACTCTACAGCAGAGTGACTTAGATCAAGTTATTGAAGAATTAAAATATTTTTCTTGTAATATAAACTAGGTATAAGTTGTACTAAAACTATATCTGTAGACTATAGTGTCTGTGGAAGATATCACTTCCTTCATGTATATTTAAATTATCCTAGGGGTGGCTTAGTCGGTTAAGCATCCGACTTCAGCTCTGGTCACGATCTCGCAATTTGTGGGTTCGATCCCTTCATTGGGCTCTGTGCTGACAGCTCAGAGTCTGGAGTTTGCTTCAGATTCTGTGTCTCCCTCTCTCTCTACCCTTGCCCACTCACACTTTATATCTATGTCTCTCAAAAATAAACATTAAATTTTTTTTTTAATTATCCTATACCTGTATGTTATTGCTTGTTTGTTGGGAGGTGGGTTTTTTTTTTTCAGCAGCCATTTTCCTTAGAATCTGGAAGTGAGGCCTCCATGAAAATGAATGAATCTAGACTCAGACAAAAACCAATACATTCTATGTGTAGAATGATTTAAGACTGAATAAAGAAGTCTGTGAGAAATGCGCATTCCCTTCAGTGGTTCCTCATGAGTTTGAAAGCAGGGATGTCTACTGTGGAACAGACAACACCTAGACAAAAAAAAAAAAAAAAAAAAATAGCTTCTCAGGAGCTAGAGCTTATTATTGTATGAATGGAGTTCTCATTCTCCCTCAGAGCATCATGATCCCTGAAGCTGAGATATGTTGGCTGCCAGGGTACAGACACAGCATGAACAATGTGTGAGTGACGTACGTGTTGGGAGAGGCCCGAGAAGGTTTAACCTCCACAGCAGGAGAGCGTGGGTTTCATACAACCAGATGGTTCCTGATCTGTTTTACCTTACAGAATATACAGGCAGAATCTGATCACTCTCCACTTCCCCAGAGCTCCCACCCTGCTCTACATCCCCATCATCCCTGGCCTAGACTGCTGCAGTGCTGTCCAACAGGGCCTTTGCTCACAATCTTGCCTCCACGAATCTATTCATAGCATAATGGCCAAAGTGTTCTTTAAAATGCAACTCAGATCACATAACTTCTCAGAGCCCTATTTCATTCGGAGTGAAAGCCAAGTGTTTTCAGTGACCTACACAGCCTTGTACAATCACACACTCACCACCCTCTCCTCTTACTTTCCCCCTCACTCACTCTACGCTCTCATTTGGTCACTTGCTACGAGTTGCCTGTTCTTGCCTCATCCTTCTTACCTTGTCTATTCTTTTCCCTATAGTATTTATTATCTTCTAATAAGTGAGTCTATTTATGTAAGTGCCATAAAAGATGGGATCTTGGTTTTATTTATTTATGTATATCAAGCATCTAGTTCTATGCTGGGCACACAGTAGTCACTCACTAGGCAGTTGTTGAATGGATGAGTGAGTGAGTGAGTTAACTTATTTTGCATACACATTCTATGTAACTTGTACCTAACCCAGAGATGATGGAAACAGAGTGCAAATAAGCCAGAATTATTCTGGAAGTGGTGCTATGTCAAAATTCAAATTAGCATCATGAATAGCTGGCATAGCAATGATTATTAATTCATTCCTGTCAACTGTTAAGATGAAAAAATCTAATACACTTAAATAAAGGAGATGCTTTAGAAGGATGTTTCTGCATTAACTCTACCATCAACGAGTGACATGTCAAGCTAAGTGCACATACAGCTAGAACATTTCTAATTTTGTATGACTTAAGTTTAAATATATATAGATCTTTCTCAAGCAGTGTGAACTGTCTTCTTTTATAACTTCCTCAAATTAATTTCTCTTTTGTTATACCTCCACTTAAAACAAAACAAAAGTAGTTCATTTTCTTGCAGCTACTGAGCAGGGGGTTGTGAAGCGATGGTG